AATTTTAGATACCAAGAAAATAAAAATAAAAAACCTCACATTTATAACAGTTCAGTCTACTTTCATTTCAACAAAAACCATAATTGAACTTTTTTTTCCCGCTTATGCAAATACTAAGAATTCAAAGCTAGATTACATGTCGCTCAAATTCTGTGAATTTAATTGTTTAACATGAAATCTAATTTTAAGACTATAATTCATAAAACGATGGAAAAAAATTTACATTAATATTTTCAAAATGATTCTTAATGTTTCATTGGTTAGGTTTACATTTGCTAATAATTTATTAATTCGAAGTTCTGCAGAAAGAAGGTTGACCATTTAGTGAATAATTGAGAATCGTTGATCCAAAGCATAACCTCACTCTGTAAAAAGAATAAAAAAAGTTTTGTTCTCAAAAGTACTAAAACTGAAATGGGTAAAAAAGGCAGATAGAATATTTTTTCAAGAATATAGGTTTAGTCACTCAAATATACGTACATAAAATGCATAAAATAATAATAAAAATCAATATTCTTTTATTGTCTACGCCGTGATGTCTTCATATTAATAAAATTTTCGCCGAGCGTGCTTTTTTATGTCATAACTCAAAAGCTAATATATGGAACAATATGAAATTTTTCACAATTCTAAAAAATTGTTTAAAGAACCATCGGGTATCCAAAATGTTACTAATGCGTTCATTAGTTTTGCAGTATTTGTTCTCAAGTGTTTTGTGTAAGTTCTAAAACAGGGGTTTCCAACTCATATGAGGCCGGGGGCCGCAATTAAAAATACCAGTCAAATAGCGGGCAGCAACTTTATCAAATCTTTATATAGGACTCTTTTATGTTTGAAGGAACATTAAACATTACAGTCAGATTTTTATCAAGTTGTACAAAACGAAAGTATTGAATTACAAATTAAAATAAGAAGTAGATTTTTAAAAAATATTTAATTGCATATTAAAAAATTCTGGCCACAAAATTTACAAATTTAAATAATTTCGTCCAAAACGTGTGGTTTCAAAAAGTTAAATCGGAGAATTTCTTCGAGGAAATTTCTGATACGCACATTCTAAATTATATTCACAAAATACAAAAAAAGAAATAAAAATTGGTAACATACACGATTATTTTTGTAGTTGAATAAATATTTTCTTGGATGCAAAACCTGAGAAATAAATTTTTTGCACCGTTGGTATGTTAAATTTCACAGAAACGAAAAAATTAGTTTTTTTTTAAATTTTTTTTTTAAACAAAGGATAAGTATTTTAAACCCATATAGAGTTTTTACGAAAATTGTCCGCAAAAAATGACAAATAATATATTTCAGTTCGCGGGCCACAAAGAAAGGCTTCGCTGGCTGCCAGTTGGTAAACCCTGTTCTAGAACATTAAGTTTTTTTTTTTTTTTTTCGCTTCATATTTCAGTTTAGTGTAAACTATTAGCAAGATAATTATGATTTTTTTTTACAGCTACGTACTCACATGTTTGAAAGCGTGTCTCACTTTGTTTAAATTTCAAATTTGTTTCAGAGCCATTAAACAGTTTATATTGACTGTTTTTTATATTAAGGAGAAACTTATCACTGTAAAATAACATACTTTTTCCCAATCAGGTATTCTTATGACTAAAGGGGAAAAAAACTATTATAACTAACTTCGACTATTTTTTTAAAGAATTTTAGAATTAGTTTCGGCGTAATTAACCCTTAACGGCCCTGAACTATTTCAAGTTTCTTTCCCGTCAGGTATAATTACAGTAATTAATAATAATATTAATTATAAATATGTATGTATTTGTAATTAAATTATTTGTAAATATGACAATTATAAGAAAGATAAAATAATAAAATGGTTTGCCTTATTTCCTTGGCGTCGGTCAAGGCAGCAAAAATTCCAAGTAAGCAAAAGTTCCATGCCGCTTATATGGCAGGATTGGTCCGTTATAGATTACAATTTAATTTTTTTTTTTTTTTTAATCCTGAAAGTTTAACAAAAGTAAAGTATTTTTTTGTCTCTTTGACAGAACCAAAGCCTAACTACTTTTACTTTTAATTGAAAAAAAAAGTGATTATAATTAAGGAGCTCGCTGCTAATATTTATATGAATAAATATCAAAAGTCCTTCAAAGCTCTCCCCCTCCATCCCCTCCTCCCAAAGTTAGGTCGTTCGTGTGTGACGTCAGGTTATTCTTTCCTTCTCATCATTTGCAATTTGCAAGGAATTATTATTCAATTCGAATCCTTGGGATTTGAATTTCAAAAATGTATATGTTTGTTGAAATTCTCTTTCAAGTTTAATTTGATAACTTAAACGTCTTTCTTTATCGGGCAAAAATTAAAAAGGGCGAATTCAACTTTTACAATGTTTTGTATTTACTTTTTATTCCTACTTTTTGATTTTTCCAACTTTTTTAATTGAGCCAAAAAGAACCTTATTATTTTTAAACTCATTTGGAAAGTTTATTCCATTTTCAGTCTAAGATAATTTACAGTTATATTGAAAAGAATCAATGCTTGAGTAAAAAATTGTTCATCGGTAACTTTAAACTATTTTTTTATTTATTTTTTAACTTGAAAGCTTGTTTCTTTCTCATTTGCTCATTATATTCCATTCTCCGTCTAGTTAAAGTTCTTTTACTATCGGGCTAACCCATGAAATATTTTCGGTTTTTTTTCTTTCTTTTTTTTCTCTACCGTATGTAACTTAAATGTGCGTAAATGTGCGTTAATTTCACAGAAAATATTTTACACGAACACATATTTGTCTCTTGTTTGTTGTTATATCTAGGAAATACTTTACCTTTATTTGGGCTCAAATTTACTCTGATACGAAAATATGGACATAATGTAGCATAAATGACAGCAAAACCGCACTATGAATCTTATGTTTAACATTGGTTATAAGATGAATTTTCTCACCCATAATTGAAAAGTTTAATAAATTGTTCAAAGATAAATTTTATTCAACGCAAATCACGTTGTAGTTATTGGATGATAAAAAATTGAACCCTCATGGTTAAAACATTTTTAATTTAATCTATCGTCATATTGTTACACATTTACCAGAAGCTATTTTATGCTATTGAAAATTTAACTGAATCAAGTGAAGAATAAATTTATTATTAAGTCCACTATTATCAGATGCCTCTACTTCTTAGAGAAGATTTAAGTAATCATTCTACATTTGGACAGTCATCCCAAATTAGAAGCTCCTATTTTTTTAAAATTTAGTTTTTAAAAAAATTTAAAAAATAAAAAGCATATTTTTATCTATGTAGGCAAGCAAAAAATTTCCTTGAAACGATATTAAACGAAATATTTGTCCTATAAAAAAATTATATAATGTTTATATTGTTTTGCATAAATATATTGGCCAGGTAATAAATAAAAATTTTTGCTGGATAATATAAGATTCGATTAGATATAAGACAATACAAAATTTTAGGTCCCGGTGCTTCTTTAGTTTTAAGGGTTGAGGAAGCAGGCAAGGATCGTTGCAAGCAGGGATAATTAAGTAATCAGGGTTAAAGCAAGTTATCGTTGCAAGCAGGTATCGTTGCCTCCATTAAGCTTAGAGATTAATTATATATACATTTATGCTACTGCACAAGACCGACCGTAGAGTTCTGAATTGTATAATTAAAGAGTTCTGGAGTTTGGCAACCAACAAAATAAATTTAAATTCATTTTTTTTTTCGTTTCTTTTTTTCAAAAAAATAGATAGATGTTAATTGTTCCAAATTGCATTTTTTGGATTAGCGATAAAATAAAATCTATTTATATTATAAGCAATAGTTTTATTAGTTTATACAAATTGTGATAATAATTCTTATAAACTAGTATAGTGTTTTTGGAGCACATGCTTAAGTAATACAATCTTAGCTAAATGTAAAGATAGAGAAACGATCTGGAGAGAACTTCCTAAATAGTTTCGAGGGTTAGTGAGAGGTGGTATAAAGTTTTTACATTTATACACGTAAAAAAAAAAACATATTAATTATTTAAATTTATTAAAAGTTTAAATTATTGTATGTTAAATATTGTAAGTTTAAATATTGTAAAAGTTTAAATATTGTAAAAGTTTAAATATTCGTTAAAGCAATTAATAAATATTGATGAGTGAGGTAATAAAATTCTCCGCAGTTTTCAAATCAATTTATATATTTTTCTAAAAAAATCGATAAAGATGTGAACTTTGCTAAAAAAGATGATGAAACTGACCTACTAGAAAAGAAAAAAATATATTGTTTAGAAGTAACAAGCTTTTTTTTCTTCCATTAGCAAACCGAAGTCAAGCATCACTGGCTACGGTCAGTGTGCGGGTGGGTGACCACTTGGATCAGTCTGCGTAGGGACCGAGGGTGTGCGGTATTGGTCCTCGTTAAACTGTGCTACCGTAAAGTGCTCGACTTCGCGCGCAGGTCGTCGGGCTACCGAAGCGGGGGTGCCATCCCCTCCGCAGAGGATCAAAATTGTGAGGATTCGTGAGAAGCTCATCATCAGGGATGTTTCCCAGACCGTCGCCAATAGCCCATTGTGCAGCTCTAGTGCGACGTAAAGTAACAACATCATCAACCATTAGCAAACATTTTTAAAACTTTTTTACAAAATAAAATTAAAGAATTTTCGTATTATTTCTTATTAAATTCTTCATAATTACTGCCAGCCTTATCAATTAAATTTGTATTTGATTTTTAACTTTCCACTTTTAACTAGATTATAGACAATATTAATGTGAACTCTTACAGTGGCGGTAGATTACATATCGTTCTATTAAACAATGTTAAACCGTTAGGATTGTTAATTTTTAAGTTTCAACATATCAACTAATAGGATATTAATGAGCTTTTATTATTAACTATTTTTAATCTGATATATTTGAAATGTTCATTTTAATCAATTGATCATAACGTGCTTTTGAAATGAAAAATTTTTTCAATGAAAATAATTTATACTTGTAAGAAGTAGAAGAAAAAAAACAATATATTAATTTTTTGAAATTTTTTTCTTTCTAGGCTGCTAAAGTATCTGCAGTGGTGCAAAAAGGTAAAACTCCAGAATTTCGATTTCGATTTATACTGGTTGTTCTGTTTGGCAGCATTATCGGTTTAGTTACCTTCACTTGGTACCTATATCAGCATCAAATGATGCAATTAGCTTTTGGTGATAAAATAAGATTTCATGAAACTCAGCGACTCTTTCATCTTTTAAAGGCAGATGGACAAATAATTCTTGCTGTAGATGTTGGGATGCAAATTCCATCTGAACTGAAATCATTTGACTGTAAATTACTTTACCCCATTAAGGGACCAAATATATGCCAAGAATGGAAATACAGGGCTCGATTGCATATCAATTACAGCCATTCCGAATTAATGAGCTGTTATACAGTTCATTGGGAAAGTCTTGCGACCAACACGCCTTTACGTGACTGCATTAGTTTAGCAGGAGCTCACTGGTATGGAATGGGAGAAGTAAAGAATATTTCTTGGCCTCTATCTGGAATATCAGAAAAACCTCAACCATTTGTTACGGGTGATTTAGAACGAGATGATTACGGTGCTATCTTGGAAAGGTACTGGTTGTCATCTGAAGGTGTTGCTCTTAAAGTTGGAGCAGACATTCCTCTGTATGTGAGCTTAAATAGCAGTATGAAGAACACTTTATGCTTGGAAGCTAAGTATGACAGTTTCCCTTATTATAATGATAAATCAGATAACTTGCATTTAGATTATACTATTTGTACTGGAACTGACATGAAGCAGGTGCATAAAGGAATGTGGGATCGAGACTTCAGGCGAGGTAACGTGACAATGGAGTTTTTGGAAGTTCCTATATGGGCAACTGCACCCAAACTTGAGTATTCTTTGACGCAAGAATCTCTGCAGACTTACTCAAATCATATAATGGATCATGGCTTTCCTGCTGGGTTTCTGCTTATTGATACAAAATGGCAAAAAGTGGAAGGAGATCTTAGTTTCAATCCGATGTTATTCCCAAATCCAACGGAGATCTTAAATATATTGCACAATAAGGGCTTTAAAGTGCTCTTAGCTGTTCATCCATATGTTTGCCTAGGTGCAGATGTATTTAGAAATGCTACTGATGACCATTATTTTGTCTCTGATGAAAAGCGGCAAGTACCACTTCTCACTAGGTGGAAAAACGAGGTTTGTGCAATAGTTGACGTGACGCGAAACACATCTGAACAATGGTTTTACGATCGCATTGTCGATGTTAAAACGACTCATGGTATAGATGGTTTTTTGTTTACCGGTGGGCAGTCATCATTTCTTCCCCCCTACTATTACTTTTACACAATGTCTGTTAATCCTGATAATTTTTTATCACTTTACCTTCGCTTAGCTTCAAAGACAAGTGACTACCTTGGTGTGTCTGTTGGGTTTCATTCTCAACATATTTCTGCCTTTGTTCGATTAGCACCTCGTACCTCTACATGGGATGCTAACACTGGTTTAAAATCCATAATACCAGCTGTGTTAACGCTAGGATTGCTAGGGTATCCTTTGGTTAATCCCGGTTCTGTTGGTGGAGATGTTTTTGTACCATCAAACACTACAATGCCGGATAAAGAGCTTTATATAAGGTGGCTACAATTGGCTGCATTTATGCCTGTAGTTCAATTGTCTATTCCTCCAGGAGATTATGATTTAGATGTCATTAAAGCTGCTAAGTTTATGTTTAAAGTTCGATCAGAACGAATTCTGCAGTCAAAGCAACCCAATGAATACATTAAGCGAGTTATAAATGAGTACCATGAATCTGGTGCCCCTATTGTTAGACCGTTATGGTGGCTTGCTCCAAAAGATGTAAATGCTCAAATAATTGACTCACAATTTGCTGTTGGTAATGATTTAATAGTTGCACCAGTTCTTGAGGAAGGAAAAAGAGCCAGAGATGTTTATTTACCACCTGGCAGGTGGAGAGATGAATTATTCGGCACAAGTAGACTTGGTGGTAAATGGATTTACAATTATTCAGTTCCTTTGGATAAAGTGGCTTATTTCGTAAAAATTGAAGACTGAGTGTTCCAAGTTTTCATAGCCTTATAAACAAACTTATTTGAAAGAGAGACAATATAATTGTTGGATTTTAAAACTTCTAAAAAGGAATGTTTCTCAATATTTTATGTGTGATGGTTAGCATTTATAACAAATATTTAGGATAAAAATATTGACTATATGTTATAACTGGTGATATGTTAATTGTTTTAAAGATTTTATGATAATGTGAAAGTTGTATTGTTAAAGTATTGTTTTTATAGCATAAGTCTTCCTTGTAAAGGCCTTACTAACATTTATATTTCGATGTAAATTTGAATGGAACTTGATAAATATATTTTTTATTTTCGAACTTATATTCATATAATCTACTAATATTATACTGGTATTTTTCTAACAATTCTTGTAACTCTTTTTTGATTTTGTAAAGTTTCAATGTTTCTATATTTGGTCTAAACCATATGAAAATCTTTTAAGTCCACCTGAGAAAAATAATTCAGCAGTTTATTTTATTATTCCATTGAAAATTATGAACCTAATGTATAAATATTAAAAAAAAATTATAGTTTTAAAAAGTTAGGCATTATTTTTCTTCAAAATTCATAATTAAAAGTATATGTTGCTTTTTTTAAATTGTTGTTGTTTAGCATTACAATACTATTTTTCATATTAATTATTGTAAATTTTTTCTTAATATACTAATATCTATGTTTAAAGTATCACAAAAAATGCGAGCAATTTGTTTATGGAGTTTTGTTATAAAAATATTATTACACCACTGTATTACAGGGTGAATTGTTTTTTAAGAACTTATCTAATGTTTTTAAAGTTTGAGTTGAGTTAAGGAATTTTAAAAATGGAAAATTTAAAAAAAAAAAAATGCTTGTTATGAATTGTTTTTTTTATTTTTATTAATTAATTTTTCAGATAGTTTTTTTTTTTTACATTTTAAAATATTGTACATATCTATTTTACTTTAAGAAATCAGTTCTAAGAATTTATTATACATATGACTGATTAAGATCTGACATAAGTGTTGTAGTGTCATGCAAGAGTTTTTTTTATATGTGTCTTATACAAAATTCAAATATAAATTATTTGGTGTTTCAAGTATAATAAAAATGAATTCGGTTGGAAAAAAATTATATACTTGGCCTACTTAAAAATTTGTTTGAAGTTAATATGCTCACAGAGACACTATAAGAGTGTCTATTCTGAAGCCTAAAAACACAATTTTTGTGTTTAAAATTAAGAGGCCTCCATCCTCACCATCTTTGATTTTACATAAAATTTTTAATTTGTGTTTCTGTAATATTTTTTTCTACTTAACAAGCTTTTGATGGTATAGTATTATTCAAAGGCACAATACTTTTAAAAAAAAGAGTAGAAAGTAAAAGGAGTCGTTTTAGTAGATAAGGAGAAATGGCGCTTGATAATTTTTTAGAACTCCTACGAAATTTTTCTTAAAACTTTAAAGCAATAAAATGATGCGATTTGTAGTTTTCAGTACGTCATTCAAAACTACACATTTCTCAGTTTTCAGATTTTTTTAAATCTAATTTTATTACAGATTAAACTAATAAAAACCGATTTGGATGACGTTAAAAAAATTTCTTGAACTTTAATTGTATAAAAAAAGATACTTATCTAAAAGCAGGCAATTGCATATAATTTAACTACCTATCAAAAACTGTTGATTGCAGAATTGAATTGGCATAATTTTGTCAAAAAAAATTTATATAGAGAGTCTAAAATACCGCATGTATATATCTCAAATTGTGATTGGGTGACGGCCTTGTATTTTACATGTATCAAAAGATACTGCCAAATAGTGCAAATAGCCATCATTAGTTTATTTGTGAATATTAAATATGAGGGTTTAAACCATATTTAGAATTTTTTTTCTTCGTATCCACCCTTTTGAGTGTAGATTTAGGTCAGGAAAGAAAGTGCCTCTTAATGCGATTGCTAACATGCATAATAAATAAATAAATAAGTATTAATAAATAGAAATTTGAATCTGTTTAAAATGTTTATTACTGTATGTATCGTTAAGAGATGCTTTAAAATATTGCTACTATACTAATTTATTAATTGCCAGTGAAAATTGACATCCAGGTGGCCTTAAAAAGTTAAAACTTATTTGTGTAAAATATTTATTTAAAAATGAAATTAAGGAAAGAAAACCAAATTTTCAATAAGCTTTTCATTTTATTTTTGTTTTCTGAGTATTAGGCCTATTGCATGATTGTTGTTGAGATATTTTGTGTGAAGATATGCATTTAATTGTTTTTTATTAGCTACATAACATATGGACTTTGTTGAAGTTTTTTTTTTTATGGTTAAAGTATACATTTAAATTGTTTATCTAAATTCAATTGTGTTAAATGTATTTCATTAAAATTTCATGTTTTTATTTTTAATTCATTTACTTTTAGATTTCATTAAAGGGGTATCATCATTAGGGAAACAAACATTAAATTTTATGAATAAACATTTATTTTAGTTGCTTAAATAAAACTCATATGTCTATTAACTTTCTAAAGTATTTTAGTAGCCCATAATAAGTAATTTTTTGAGAAAGGCAAAGCTTTTCCATCTGATGTCTTACATTTATTTAGACATTTTGTAGTCTGAATTTGCTAGTCAAGATAGTTTTTTTTTTTTGGTGCAAACCCTTATACATATTAAAATATCAACCAGGATTTAATTGTGCCTTTTAAAAAATTTACTTGAGCCCATTGGTAAAATAAGGCATCAGTGTTTGTCTAAAAATTGTTATTTCATTACCAAGATTACTCTTAAATTTTAATAATTTAAAATTATAGCTCACATTGTGTGTTACATTATATAGTGTGTGTTTAATGTTTTGTAGTGGGTGTTTTATACTCACATTGTGTGTGCTTAATGACAGCTATTTTTAATTTTTTTTAAAATTTAATATTAGATTGAGTCATAACTCACAATTAATTTCCTCTTTAAAGTATCCTTAAAGCAAATGAAATATATATATATATTGAAGTAAAACTAATAACTTAATTTAAATTAGTTTCTTTTTAAGAAAGAAAAGCATTTTATTTTATTTTTTTATATGGTCAAATGCAAACTTGAGGATTTACAAAGTATTCAATTGCATCTTTTTCAAACATGTGCAACTAAACAGTTATTTTATAATGAATTTAATTATTAAAAAACTTATCGTAGCTTTTATTTTAAACAAGATTTAAAGTTTAATATTTTTAGATTTTTAATTTGATAAAACTACATTATACTTTGAGCTGTCTTAAGCTGTAGATTTTGGTCTGTACCTATAGATTTAAAAGTCCTATTTAAACTAGATAGTGAACTTCAAGAAATCTTAAATAACTTAACTTACTACTCAAATAATTAGAAATGTTTTGTTTTATGAATTAAACTGTCACTCCACATGGAATGCCCATATTAGATTTAAAAAGAATTCTGCCCATTAATTTCATTTTCTAATTCATAATTTTTTTTATTTTTATTGCATTCAAAGTAGCATTTAGATCTATAATATACATATTTAACATGCCTTCTTTTTTATTATTATAATAGAGGAAGCAATCTATCATTTCTGAACTCGAATAGTGAATGATTATTCTCTGACTTTGTTATTTGTATTTATTTTTTTTTCTCATATTAACCACACAACATCATTTGGTTAAATTATGTATGGAGACTTATTTTTCAGTTATTAGAAAATGTTTAGTAATTAAATTACATCGACAAAAATAAAATTTTTATATTATATCTCAGGGACTTTCTATTTATTACTAATTAATAATTATTTTTTTGATTAAGATTGCCTTTTGCAATTGTCTTTATACGTAATTAGGTGCTGGTTGCTATCAAATAAACAAAGTAAAGAAAGGTAGAATTGTCAGACGCTGCTACTGAAATTAGTTTTAATTAAAATTTCATAATACTTTAATTTTATTGTAATACCTTAACCTCATACCTTAATTTTGATAAATGACTGCAATTCTCATTTATATTAACTGTGGAGTATGTAGTTAAAACGTTTGGACTTTACTGATAGCTCGATTAAAATTCCCTTCCTACCATTTCTCAGGAAAATATTAATGTTATTATTAAATAATTGATAATTTAAGGTTTTATGTTTTTGTATGTATCATTAAGGTGAAAACACTTAAAATGAAAATTACTTTTTAAATTAAGAGAATAATGTTGTCGTTGTTATTTATGCCATTTGCAAATGTCAACAAGCTTGCTAGGAAAAATCAAGCGAATTTTTAAGGCAGAGGGTATGTTTCTTGTTTTTTCAGTGATGCCATCTATAGCCAAGACTATGATTTCAGCCATTCACATGTCACAGCCTGTTTTACAGGGAAGACTACCGTACTCCATTTATTCATCCACAGATCGTAATTTTAACCTAAACCAGAGAATGATCAATCTTCAATTTTGTTCTCCCAGTGGTATTAATTTGTTATGGAAACTTGAGGACTTAGTGATTTCAACAGATTTGTTCCAATCAACGCGCGATTAATACGCGGGGATTCGTCGGCCTGCGGTATTCGATTTCTTGTTCTCATGAATACAAGCCCAACGTCCTACCAATCAGGATATTTCGATCCAAACAAAATGATGATAATAGCATTAAGTCCTTCACGAAGTCAAATTCTTCGCAGTACTTGATCCAGAAGTTCCCCTGTCTTCTGGAGTCTTGGATTCAAAATTACAAGGCAGTTGAACATAAAAAATATAACTTTGCGAAATATTGATTATATAAAAAAATCCATTGCAAAAAAAGAACCATATATCAATATCTCATGCACACTCGCGAATTTTTAAATATCTTATGACGACAAAAAAAAAAGTTTAGTGAAAATTCAAGTTGTGCATTAAATTCACCCGCATGTAGTATATTTTAACATAATATTATAGCTATATAAGTTTAGTTTGCAATTTGTTAAAAGATAACTTTTAGTAATTCATTAATTAAAAATTAATTTTTAACTTACAAATTTCAGAACAAAACTTACTGTTATGTTTATTAATCTTACCTTTTCTATAATTTCAATTATTTTCTTTATTCTTTTTCAATAGTTTTTTTAAATATGTCGGTTCAACACATTAAAATGTGATTAATCAGGTTTCTAATAATTTAAATAATTGTACTAATATTCATTTAAGTAATATTTTTGTTTATCTAATTATTAATACCTGTCTAAATAATTTTTAACAGGTCCAGATTTTTTTCTCTCTCATTTATTCTGCAGAACATAATTTTTAACTTGTTAGAGTTATCAAAGTTTTGAGATTTCAATTCTTCCAAAAAAAAATTTTTTACTACAACTCCACAGTCCATATGAACTCACTTAACTATTTTATGTAATAAAAGAAATGCATGATGCATGAATATTGTATTATCTATTATAATATTGCATTATCTTCTTTCCTATTATGTTATGTTTATTATGTATTTTGTTTTTTCAAAACTAAGTACGTAATTTTATAATTGTTTTCTAAAAAAAAAGTATTTTATAATGGGGAGTATTACTTTATACGTAGTATTATGCATGTTGAAAGTGCTCAGTATTGATTTTAAAAAAAAATCATAGCATATAATAAGTGCAATAATATTTTTCTAATAATAATGGAATTTGCAAAATTGTCTATTTTTTAATGAAATATTTTTAAACCTATCCATCTTGTAACAAAGTATTGAAAAAATTGAGCCGAAGGTGAAGAAAACTGAGATGGGCTCAATAGGCCTTGGCCCTCTATGGGCTGTTGCGCCACTGAATTTAGTTTTAATTAGTTTAATTTCCAAAATATTTTTTTTTAATTTTTTTTACATTAAATAATATTTATCTTTGGAACAAAATTGTTAATTTATTATTGAAATAAAAAATTATCAATTTTAATCACGTTAGGGAAAAAAAGAGAAATCTAAAGAACTCTGTTTTGTCCAACTTTATTCCACCTTTTCATGTATTTTCAAATTAAATTTGAACATTTTAAAAGTTACATAATTTAGTAACAGCTATTAACCGTTTAAATACCAGTGGTCTATTTTTGGAACGCATGTCTTTTTTACAATGTCAAGGACTGATAACTCAAATCTTTAATTTGTAACGTCTACAATTGGAAAAACTTAATATTCATATAAACCAAAATGTATTAATTATAGAAAATTTTACATCATGTGATGTATGTCTTGTTCTGAAATCAAATAGCTGTTGCATTTTTTAACAAAATTGGTAGCTAACTGAAGAAAATTTCCATTTAGTTTATATGCAAATGTGATCTCCTACCATTGTGCTTTTTCCATTAGTGTGAAATAAATCTCCGGCAGGTAAACGGTTAATAATGTTTGTTATGCATTTTGCTTAACATTTACAGGCCTAGTATTGTTAGTAGGCGATTATTATTATTATTTGTAAATGATTGAATAGAATTTTGTTTCAGAAACAGGTAATTATATAAATTTTCTTTCGCAATAAATATATATTTATATACATAAAAACTGTGTATTGAATTTATAGAATAATATGTTAAGAGATCAAAATCTAGAAGCTGTTGAAGTGTTAATAATAGAAATGTAGACAATTTCTGACAAATTCCACCATTTTTATGCAAATATATTTGTTTACACACATCTTGGATTGTGATAGATAGGCTTGTACATATTCTTATAAGGATTGATTTTTATAAAGCGATATTTAAAATTTTTGTGCAATGTCTTATAACAATATACATGGTAAGAATGCGATTACATGAATATTTTATCAGACTAGTCATTAGAAGTTGTTTAATCTTTAAAAAAAAATTAAGATGTCATTTTACGGGATTTTGAAACTAACTTTATTTCTGAGAATTTATATGGTTATATTTATCGTGTAAAAATTGTTGAATCTCTTCTTATTGTCATGTTTTACTATTTACAAATTATCTGAAAATGTTATCACTATTTTTGGAAATAAATATTTATTTCTGGATATATTTGTTTTACTACTTCTTTTTTATTTTTGTTTTAAAAAAAACTTTAAAATATTTTATTTTAAAAGTTCATATTTATCAAGGTTTGATTTAAATTAGAGTTTCTTAAACTGTGGGTCCTTACACCAATTAGGGCCGCAGGCTCTTCAGAAGGGGTCGCTAAAAATTTTAGGAATTCTTTATTTCTTTAACACGTTGAATACCATAGGGTTCACCGGTGACCGGCACAGAGTTTGTTCGTAGCGACACCGGGGTCACCGCTGACCTGCGAAGCCAAGATTATTAGAAACATATGATTCGAGCAAATTTTTAATGCTTTTAATTATCTATATATATATATTTCTCTTACACGGCGACAAAAAAAAAGCCTCATTACAACTCCCCGAATGGCAACGCTAGAAAATCGACCTATGATTGCCGCTAAAAATGTCACATGCCAAATCAAGCTGAGGTGGCTCAACATATAGCGCTTTTAAAAACGGTAACTGAAATAACCAGAGAGAGCATCCTCATCAAATATGATCTCCGAAATTCACCCTATCAGCTGCAGCAATCTCATACAATTAAGCTAGGCAGAAGTGAGTAGTCTTTGTCGATAGATCTCTATTTTAGTATTTTGTCGAAAGCGCTTTTTTTTTCTCACGAATTTATATATTATTTGACGATTTTTGATTTATATCACGAATTTATTTGTTTTATTATTGTTATTAGTTATTCATTGAAAAATGAGTCTCAGTCGTGCTGTTACGCATTAAGATTTTATACTATAGCGCATTTCTAATAGGTTTAACGAATTACATGTCATTTATTTGAATTCAAATTTATTTTAATGACTTAGTATTTACTAAAAAGATGTAATTTTTTTAAAAAAGAAGTTGTTATATGGATTTGAATGATTGTTTTGAATTCTTAGAATTTTGTGCATTTGCCATGTATCTAATTTAGTAGAGAGCGAAGCAAACCATATAAGATTGCGTAGCAATTTTCGTGGGTTAGCGAGCAGTTGGCGCAGCCCACTAGTTTTATATTATTTTCGTTGATAAAATGGTTTGAAGAAATTAATGCAATACATACTGAGAAAATTGTTTTGGCCAGACGGGCAAGTCAGGTAAAATTAGCGTGGCATTCAACGTGTTAACTTATTATAATAATTTTACAATTAACAAATATTTTTACGCAAAATATCCGAAAATAGATGAAGATAAGAATACACAGGCTATGAAAAATGTTTCGACTCAGTTTTATTATTCTATAATATTTTCAAATTTGTTATGTGATTAAATTTTCGTCGTCTTAAAATTAAAAAAATAATGTTAATGATATCAAATTGTAATAGTATATAGCGGTACAAGTGAGTAACCTGACAGTTTCACGCGTTTGCCGGATTTGCGAAATACTTATGGGGTCCCCACACCAAAAAGTTTAAGAAACCCTGGTTTATCTAATAAAACACGCCTTAAAAAGAACATTTATCATAACAAATATTTACAAAATTTTATTAATATTTTTTATACTTTAAAAATAAATTCCTTATTAAACAAACAGTATCATCTTTACTCAAGTGTGAATTCTGATCTAGGTAATAAATATATACCTCATATTGCGACTTCTTTTTTTAAAAAAAAGTATAAATTTTCAAGTAATTTACATAAACTCTTAAAGCGTTTTTCATATGCATATCTTATCTTTCAGTTCAGCTGTTAAAATCCATCAGAACGTATGATAGATTTCCCATCGTCTAGTGAATAAAGACTAAGAGCTTTAAATACTTAAATCAGTTGTAGTTGTCGAAGTTGAACTTAGAACTATGCGAGTTTACGGGACATTGATTTTTATTGGTTGCGTTGCAACGGTAAGAAATGCATAATGATTTTTTAAATAATATTCGTATAGTTAGTTTATATTCACTAGTATTATAAGTGCTTAATTATTTTTCGTATTAAATAGTTAGTTTTTGCTTTTATAGAAATCATTTGAGAAACACGTTAAAATTTATTAAAAACTGTTTATGTAATGACTTGGAAATTTCTAAAAATCATTAAATTCGGATGCAATTATTATACTTACTGGTCTTGATCAGTTTCCAAAAATTTCATATGATTATAGTTTAAAAATGTGGATCTTAGAATATTCCTGGAAAACATTAAAAGCTCTATTAAGTATAATCAGCTCTATTAAGTATAATCAATATTTATAGTAAAGTTGTTTTAAAACATTATGTGTGCAGTGCGCAAGATAAAGAATCAGCACTCGGAATAACTTTTGATCTAATAATTGGATTTTAACATGCCATGACTAAATCTTAATGACTCCAGAGCCTAGCCTTAAATATGCTTATTAATTAGTGCAGACGATATTTTAAGTTACCAAATCGGGGGCAAAACTTACTCCATTTATATAAACAAACTTTTTTTCCACGGATTCGAAACCTTGCTGGTAGCTGTAGTCTGGAAAACTATTAGTCCCACTAATTTAAACAGAAGAGGGGTAAAAAGTGGAAGCAATATCGAGGGAGAAACCTTTCATGATAAATTCTGTTTCAAAATTTAAAGTTTAAGCCATAAAATTTGAAACACTGGAGAAAAAAAATTAAATATCAGAATATGATCAAATCAATCCAGAATTACTTCTCCAATGCGTAATCCTGCCATAATATGTTTGCATTTTGATAATTTGAGATAAAAAAAAATAAAAAAAAGTTTACAGCGTTTAGGACTCCATGGTTTATTCTAGGATTATCGAAACTCGTCTTTCTATATAATTAGAATAAAAAGGTTTTCAGTATTTAAAACTCCATGGTTTATTCTAAGTTTATCTAAACTCGTTTGTCTACATAATTTGAAAAAAAAAAAAAGAAAGTTTTCAGCGTTTAAAACTCCACGGTTTATTTTAGGTTTACCTAAACTCGTTTTTTTAATTTTTTTTATTTTTAAAAGTTTAAAAACAAAAAGCTTTCAGCGTATAAAAATTCATGGTTTATTCTATGAATACCTAAAATCATTTTTCTCTGAACTTTAAACTATTGGTGGAGATGGAAAAGAATTTGCCATGAAGGAATATGTCTGCGGTATAGCGTCTTCATAACGCTGGTAACTCGTCTCTTCCTGTCCAAAATATGTCGAGTGATGACGAGTTAACTCGTCGTTGCGCTTTCAATGTCGAGTTAACTCGCCATCGGCCAACATCGTTTGAGCATGAAATCATTATTTAGAATGTTTTACTTAACTTTATAGTGACTTACAAAATAATAGCCGGTGGCATGACATTGTTTCCGTGAAAAATTGACGGTTAACAAAGTGTTCGTGTTAATTTTATTTTTTGCGTATTTCATCGTATCTTTGAAACTATTTAAGTGAAAGAGGTTTGATCATAAGTATAAAACTCGTTTGTCTAAAGATAATTCAATTTGCATTTAAAAAAAAATATTATTCAGCAAGCAATTAATTTTCAAAATAACTAATTTCAAGAATAAAGAATTACGTTTCTCTGATAACTATTCTCAGCGTTTATAACAGTTCCTTTTTGAAACCACAATTTAGCTTAATTTATTAATTTTCAACATATGCATACACCAAGAACAAATTCATAATGTTAAATACTTCGTTCTTCACATTAAATTTTTTTTAAAAAAAAATAGCTTTATCTTTATTTTAAAGTTAGCATAATAACACAGCTGCTATTGAACTTTTTTTTTTTTTATAATGCAAGAATTCCGCAAAAAGAAGATCAATCCTCTAGGGGTCCCTTACCGAAAAGAACTGGGTACCTCCATCTTAAGTTATTATAGTGCAAGTTATAACATAAGTTATAATGTAGTTTAGCAAAGTTATTACTGTATTTCTGTTACGTAAGTTAAATGCAAAACGCCAAAAAGAAAGGTTGATCAATGATTTATTTTTTTCTTTTTATTAATTTTTTATAATTTTTCTCTTAAATATGTCTATGATGAATGCAAAGAAATTCTTTAAAATTTAAAAAAATATTTTTTTAAAGCGCTAATTCTGTTTTATTATTATTAAATTTTCATTTTTAAAAAGAAAAAAGAAAAGAAAACTGATGTCGCATGTTTGCAACAGTTACTTATGTCTGTTAGGTCAAGTTTAGCCTCTATGATTATTCCTCTATAAATTATGCCTCTGTAAAATTGGCGCAAAACGTCAATATCAATAAAAGCCACAGTTATAAGAAAAATTAAAAGCGTTTACGGTCTAATATTTTAAAACTTACTCTAATGCTGCATTATCTGGGCACATAAAAATGTGCAAAAAAATCGAATTAAGACATTGTTTTTGCTAATTTTTATCTAAGTAAAATAATGTCTCAAAACTAGCGATTTTCAAAAAAGTTTAACTACTTTTAAAATATTTTAGTCATTTGTCCGTTCTAAAAGCCCAGATAATACTTCACAGATAATTTTATATATAGTATAAAATTATAGCTTTGCTTTAAGTGCAAGGCACTTAAAAGTTTAACTACTTTTAAAATATTTTAGTCATTTGTCTGTTCTAAAAGCCCAGATAATACTTCACAGATAATTTTATATATAGTATAAAATTATAGCTTTGCTTTAAGTGCAAGGCACTTAAACTGTGGCTTTGTTTATTTTACTTAGTGAAAGAACTTCGAAAAACAATGTTAAAAGCTCAGAGGAGTTGTCGCCTGTTATTACCCCTCTATAATCTTTGCTATTACTGCTCTAAGATTAAATGAGGTACATACAGAACACATTGAAATCAAGGAAAAACTATTGTTTTTTTTTTTCAGGCTCTTGCGTACACATCTTGTACCAAACAATCTGATTGTGAAGAAGATGAATGCTGTTTAGACAACCTATTTTTTAAACGTCCTTGGTGCACTCCAAGATACGCTGCAGGTAAGCATTTTTTTTTTCTTTTTAATTTTTATGAACGACGAGTCATTCAAACAGATTGAAATTCGAAAGCAAAATATAATAACGCTTTTAAATGCTCTTCTAAATAATTGATTTTTTTTGTTAGCAATTTTTCGTGAAGCGAAAAAAAAATTCTTCTCACATAAAATGCATTTAAATTAAATCTAGTCTACTTTAACATTAAGCATCCATGATTCTCTTTAAAAATTATTTCATCGTGGCCTCTGCTGTTTCAGAAATACTTAACCGCGCTTTCCACTCACAATTCACAAAAACTATTGAATGAAAAAGTATATACGTTTAGAAAAATGTTTAAGAACCATTCTGACATGAAATATTCATGATACGGACATAAGTTTTTGATTTAAACTCGTATATCTGGTGTCAAAGTTAGAGGTTTTTTGTTTTCGTGACTCTTAAAGTAGTTATTATTCTATTTGTGCGTAACAGCCTCTTAAATAGACGGTTCCATTTTTTAAGGGTATAAAAGTGTTTTGTTATAGGGATTTGTTTCATAAAAACCATATATTTTTAATCATAATACTTAAATTAACAATCGAAATAATTATATTTGGGTCAAAATTCAAAACACTAGGTTTCTTGAAAGCTAAAATGAAAAAAAAATTCCATTTGGTACAAGCAGGTAATATTTTTATGCATATACCTCTTTTTGCAGCTTGGAAAACTATTGATAGTAGATTTTAGATTTTTTTCTTCACTTTTTTACTTCTTTGTTTGAAAATATGCGAGTCTACTTTTTTAAATTTCGTACTAGTTTTGGAATTTTCCAATGTAAAGGAAAGATTGATTGCAGTAAGTGTTTTAGCTTTTTGCAGAAACGAAAAAGACACTTTTGGACTCCAATGTAATATGTGCGTACCGTTTTTCTTTTACTACACAGCCTCTGAAATTTAGAGATGTAATGAAAAATTCATTAATTAAATTGATCACATTGGAAAAATATTCCTGACTTAGAGACTTAAATTACACAGCTATATTCGGCGTTCCTACAATATCAAACTCCTATATACGACATTTTATTTAGATGTCTATCACAAAGCTCTCCCTAATATTTCTGATGAATAAAAAAACACGAATTATTATCGATTTGAATTTAGCCAAATTAGAAACAAGTTAAGTTTTTTTTTAAATAATTAATCATTTTACCGATATTTAAGAACAAAAAGAAATTTTTTCAATTTTTTTTTGTTTATGCCAGAAATTTGACAATTTTTTAATTCCAACCCCGCTAAAATTAGACGCCCATCGTTACATATTTTTTTAATTTTTTATTATTTCTTAAAAATGTTGTATGTGGCCATGAGCCATTTTTAAAAACGTCTCGACGCACAGTTATGATTATTGTTTAATTTCGTCCCAGTCAAAATAAGACGTCTTAAATGCTCATTGTTACACATTTATTATCATTATTTAAAAATGTCTCATGTGACTTTCAACCATTTTTAAAAACGTCTCGACGGGCAACTATGATAACTGTTTAATTTCTTCCCACGTTAAAATAAGATGTCTGAAGCGCCCATTGTTACACATTTATTATTATTATTTAAAAATGTCATAAGTGACTTTTAACGGTTTTTAGAAAGGTCACGACGGGCAATTGTGATAATTGTTTAATTTCGCCCCCTTTAAAATAAGATGTCTGAAGCCCATTGTTACACATTTATTGTTATTATTATTTAAAAATGTCATTTGTGAATTTCAACCATTTTTAAAATCGGCTAGATGGGTCACTATGATAATTGTTTAATTTCATCCCCGTTAAAATAAGATGTCTGAAGCCCATTGTTACACATTTATTGTTAGTATTATTTAAAAATATCATTTGTGAATTTCAACCATTTTTAAAATCGTCTAGATAGGCCACTATGATAATTGTTTAATTTCATCCCCGTTATAATAAGACGTCTGAAACGCCCATTGTTTTCACATTTATTATTATTATTATTTAAAAATGTCATTTGTGAATTTCAACCATTTTTAAAATTGTCTAGATGGGTTACTATGATAATTGTTTAATTTCATCCCCGTTAAAATAAGACGTATGAAACGCTCGTTGTTACACATTTATTAATTACAAATTTCGTATATGACTTTTAATTATTTTCAGAAAAATCTCGACGTGTCACAGGTTGAAAACTCCTTACTTTATTTCATTTTTACACAATGGCTTAATTTTGATCTATTGATTAATTATACTTTCCACATTCTGAACTCTTCTAGAATGAATTACTATAATATCGTTCTTGAAATGTTTTCTTTCGTACATTATTTAGGTAGTCGATGTCCAACTGCATCAATTTATAAAGAGGAAACTGACTTGTTTTATTTTTCTTGCCCATGCGTCAAAATGTATGAATGTCTTGGCAAAGGAACGACAGAGGATGGAGTAAGTATAAGAAAGAATAGCACATTTATATTGTGGCGTTAACTACCACTATAAATATTAAATACTAATTCACTAGTATATAACACATGTTAACTTGTTACTACCTAGAGGAATGCTTTGATAGACGAAGGTTGACATAGTCGATAATTAAATCCCTTCAAAATGGTTATGACAGACAGGAAAATTATCATAAGTAAAAAACTAATATAAATAAGAATTTAGGAAGTATACAATTTTAGTATGGAACAAAAAGTAACTATTGCCATTATTGTAAAGAATATAACTATCGTCACTTTTTCGTGGAAATATATTTCGTCAAAATTAAATAAATATTTATCCGTTCTATTGTTGTTGACGTATGCCTATTTAGGCAAAGGGGATGCGAGAGTTATTGTTTTCCAGTCGCGCCATCTAAGGCCAAGAATTCGACTTCTGCCACACCATACGTCACACCCGTTTATAGGGCGGAACCATTCATACATCCATCCACAGATCGTTATTTTGACCTGAATCAGAGAACGATCGATCTCCAATCCAGTACCCCCAGAGGTATTGATTTGTTATGGGAACATGGAGGACTTTTGCGACTCGACAGATTTAACGTGCATCAGTCACTTTACTACACGGGGAGTCTTCGGCCGGCGGGGTTCGAACCCACGAACTCTCGGACATGNCTTCGTATATTATTGGTTTAAGTTGTCGAAATTTAATATTTCAATTGTAAGGCTCGCATTAGCATACATTTATAAGAGATATGCATTTTTTAATAGTTTTTTTAATATGGCTCTTATTTGAAGACGAAAAAGCATAGATTTTCTTACAAAATGACTGATAACTAAAAAACTAATCCAAATTTTTGAAAAAGAAAAAAAATACTTCTTCATTATGTCAAAACACAATTTTGTGTCAAGTTTCGTGCCTGGGCGAGGCTTCTGGGGCGATATATTGTGATTACAGACAGACACACAGCCGCTTTTATTATTATGTATAGATTTATAAACGTCCTATGTGACTTTCAACCTTTTCTAACAACGTCTCGACGGGGAATTATGATTAATTTCGTCTCCGTTTGAAGCGCCCACTATTACACATTTATTGTTATTATTTGTATTTAAAAATGTCATTTGCGAATTTCAACCATTTTTAAAATCGTCTAGATGGGCCACTATGATAATTGTTTAATTTCATCCCCGTTAAAATAAGACGTCTGAAACGCTCATTGTTACACATTAATAAATTTCGTGTATGACTTCTAATTATTTTCAGAAAAATCTCGACGGGTCACAGGTTGAAAACTCCTTACTTTAATTCATCTTTACACAATGGCTTAATTTTGATCTGTTGATTAATTATAATTTCTACATTCTGAACTCCTCTAGAATTAATCACTGTAATATCGTTATTGAAATGTTTTCTTTCGTACATTTAGGTAGTCGATGTCCAACTGCATCAATTTATAAAGAGGAAACTGACTTGTTTTATTTTTCTTGCCCATGCGTCAAAATGTATGAATGTCTTGGCAAAGAAACGACAGAGGATGGAGTAAGTATAAGAAAGAATAACACATTTATATTGTGGCGTTAACTACCACTTTAAATATTAAATACCAATTCACTAGTATATAAGACATGTTAACTTGATTCTATCTAGAGAGGTACGTATTGATAGATGAAGGTTGACATAGTCGATAATTAAATCCCTTCAATATGTTTATGACAGACAGGAAAATAATCATAAGTAATAGTCTAATATAAATAAGAATTTTGGAAGTATACAATTTCAGTATGGAACAAAAAGTAACTATTGCCATTTTTATTGTAAAGAATATAACTATCGTCACTTTTTCGTGGAAACATATTTCGTCAAAATTAAATAAATATTTCTCCGTTCTATTGTTGTTGACGTATGCCTATTTAGGCAGAGGGGGTGCGAGAGTTATTGTTTTCCAGTGGCGCCATCTATGGCCAAGAATTCGACTTCTGCCACACCATACGTCACACCCGTTTATAGGGCGGACCCATTCATCCACAGATCGTAATTTTGACCTGAATCAGAGAACTATCGATCTCCAATCCAGTACCCCCAGAGGTGTTGATTTGTTATGGGAACATGGAGGACTTTTGCGACTCGACAGATTTAACGTGCATCAGTCACTTTACTACACGGGGAGTCTTCGGCCGGCGGGGTTCGAACCCACAAACTCTCGGACATGGGCCCAGCGCCCTACCGACCAGGCTATCCCGGCACACACAGCAGTTTCTTATTGATTAGAATGAGTACTTTGATGAATTACTTACTCAGCAATTGGATACCTGAAAATAACGACATCGCAGGTAAGTCGTGGCATTTGTCGATTCACAAGCCAATCAGGTTCGACACACACAAGTGACATCGCTTACAGGTAAACAATTAAATCCGATTTAAATCACATGGTTAGGCGTAATCATTTCATTTCTTCTTGAGTTGCAAGTCCAAGTACCAAAAGAAAAAGCAACTCGTAGTGCCTTAAGTATCTAACTTTTCTAAAATTCACTCAATCGTGGGCACTATATAGGTAAGTTAATGTCACTATAACAACACAAAAAGGTCAAATAGACCAAAAAGGTATATTAAACCCGTACCCAAAGCGGTATTTGAACATGAAACAACAATAACATGTTATTTTTTCAGTAGAGTTGATAAATGTAACTGTGATGTATTAAGGCAAATAATGATGTGATCTATTTATAATGGAGCTAAAAAGAATAACGACAGCAATGCATGGCTGGTTATTTTTATAGCTCTTACAAAATTTAAATTGTATTTTAAAAGGTAATTCTATATTTAAAAGCTCAAGTTTCAGTTTCTTATGAGAAAACGGTAACTTTAAATTAAATTTTCTTCAAAAAGCATGTTTTTTTACTCTTTGACTTAGTAAGTTAAATTTTTTACTATCGGGATAAATGTGGGGTATTTCGTGGTTTTCTTTTCAACGTAACACAAATATGAGTCAGTTTTACTGAAAAAGTTACTTGCGAAGATGAGTTTGCCTTAAACGTTCATCAAGACGTACTTTATTTCTAAGATCCGGAATTAACATATGAGCTAATCCCCTGTGTTCTTTTCAACGTTATTAATAATATTGAAATTCCATCCTACTATTTTATTTTTATTACCTTCGTTGAACGACCCATGCACTTTTGGGTTTAAGATCACTATTGTTCTACTCCGTCACCTTGTAATTTTGAACCCTATCCAGAAGACAAGGGAACTCCAAGATCAAATAGTGGGAGAAATTTGCCTTTATGGAGGACTTTTTGATGGAACTAACCCTCATTTCCGTTACATGGAGAGGAAAACTACGAGAACCTCCGTGGTTAGCCTGACGGCTAACCACGAGAACATCCCACGGCTAGCCTGACGACATTGTGATCGGTGCGAACCGGATGCGGAATTCGCATTGATCAGCCATCGCTGGGGTACGAATCTGGTTCACCTCATTGGAAGACAAGCGGTCTATTCCCTGAGCCGCTACTGCTCCCATCCGACTATTGAAAAATTTAAAAGCTTGTATTCATCTAGTTCCCATTGCTCATAAGTTACATTAAGTGGCATAAATAACACCTACCGCAATACCCACGGTACGTGGGGAGCGTACGATTCAGAAATAGTACACTATTACAGAAGTGTACAATTTGCTGCAAACGGTTGCCTGAACATAATAAAAAAAATATTAATTTTTTTTTTTTGAGAAAATAAAAAACGTCGAAAATTTTGAATTGCGCATTTTTTAACGAGCCAAATCTAAATCAAACCTGTTTTTCGATCGTTTTTTTTTCTTTCCCGGTGGTTATCGCAACGAAGTCTTAAAAATCTCAATATTTTAATTTCGAGAAAATTATGATGCGAAATTTCGAGTTTTATTAATCAAGCTCTTTATTTGTGTCCTGTTAATAGTTAAATCCTGTTAAAACTTTTCAATCGTGTTTTAGGAGGTTATTATCGGATTTTCACGTGTTTTTTTAAAAATCCCGTTTTTTTTTAATGCATACATTATAACCACTCGCGAGTTTCGAATTGCGCAAATGGTAATCACTTTTGCCTTGCTTTATTTGTTCCAATATGTTGATTATTGTACTGTTTTTTAAGTACATTCTTTCTCTAAGCACTCTCTTTCTCTAGGTATTATTTCTGTATCGTTTCTTAAAGTACTAATATCTAAGTTTAACTTACTTATTATATTTAGTTTGACTTATACTTTAGTTTGACTTTGACTCGTTTTTATAAGTATCGTAACTTTTCTCTAAGTATTTTTTTCTATTGTTTTTTCATCACTTATTGTAAAGCATTTCCACATGATTTTGTAAATCCCGATATTTTTAATGTGTATAAATACGGCACTCGAATCTCGCATTTAAATGTGCCCTTTATTTGTGCCTCAAATAAAAGGCACACAAATCTAAGAGGCATTGCAAATCTATTAAGAGTTTTTCTCATCGTTTTTTCCAACAGTTATTGCTACGCTTTATCAAGAGATTTCGAAAATCTTGATATTTTTAATCTGGTATTATAACGATTTTTGTATCAGGTATTTTAATCATTACTTTTGACGTGCTTTATTTGTGCCGATTTCATCATCGTCCAAGTTACCAAATCAAATAAATATTAAGTCCATCATTAAGAGCTGTTTCTGTAACTAAATCTTTCATCTATCACATTATGCCAGATTAGATTTTAACGAATTTCTTCCATAGTTTGTCTAATGAACTCCTCTAGCCATTTGTCTGAACCCGTGGTGGTCACCATGGTAACGAGGTAAAACTATTTCAAGTAGGGGTGTGGGGTCGACGAGAAAAGGCTAATCTTCTTCTCTGGTCTCTTATGTTTGTCCTTGAGTGAAGAGAAGCTACCCTCGCTATTCTTGTTCCCATAGAAACAGACTTTGTGTAAGGGGGAGTTCTTACTGTAGACAAACTATACATATATTTTTCAATACGATTTAGAGAGCCGCGATGGCTCAGGGGATAGAGCGTTCGCCTTCCAATGCGGCAAACCGGGTTCAAATCTCAGTCGATATGAATTCCGCATCCGGCTTGCACCAACCACAGTTCTGACGTGAAATATCCTCAATGGTAGACGGATCATGGGTTAAAGTCCTCTTGCCGTCAGGCTAATCGTCGAAGGTTCTCGTGGTCTTCCTCTCCATGTAGCGCAAATGTGGGTTTGTCCTATAAAAAAAAGTCTTCTACGAAGGCAAATTTCTCCCAATACTCGATCCAGGAGTTCCCTTGTCTTCAGCATTGGGTACAAAATTGCAAGGTTACGGTGTTGAACATTAGTAGACGTAAACCCATAAAATTGGGTCGACTGTTCAACGACATTTATAAAAACGTAAATTAATTTTGCTTAGAGTTAATTGTAAAATATTTGTTCGGTAGATATTTCTACGACTTTTATTTGGTTTTGTATAGCTACTGTTGATATCCGAAACCGACGAGGTACAAGTTTCAATGTTTGCCCGAGCCCGGCAAAGGTTTTGAGCACGGTACAGTAGGCGGGGAAAAAACGGACCTTCTTGAATAACTTTTGATCTAACGATTTGTTCGTCACTTTCCAGGACTGATGGTTCTGACTCTATGTAATGGTTCGATGGGGTGAACTCCAATCTGCTAATTAATAAGCGCAGTAAAAAAGTCGTGTTTTTAATATACGACTTCTCAGGAACTATTTGATCGATTGTTACGGATCGATAACAATAAGGGGTCCAAACTTTCGATCGCTCTCCAGATCAAACTATTGAGACCAAATTTCCCAAATTGCGGCTACTTTTTATATTTTGAGGGTGAAAAATCCGTATCCATAAAAAAAATTTTTATTTTGAGAAAATGCATTTTTCTGTCTTAGTTCAAAACTTAAAATATTGTTTGCATTAATTAATTACCATATTTGAGATCACCCTTACAAACCATTTAGATTGATGGCTAGAACGTGAAGATCTGAGCGTTAGAGCAAAAGTTAGTCAGGGTGGTACGTTCTATTTTTGCGTACTGTACATCCTTGCTAAGAATTTCGATTTTTTGGTCGTTTGTGCTCTCGAGTCAAACTTATTAAATTCATAATGATAATATATCATTGCGTTTATACGAATATTTCTCTTTTTCAGGTTACTGTGGTGAGAGATGCTAAGTGTATCATGCCAACCATTTAGAGAGGATTAGACAGAAAATAACTCAGTGTAAAAAGTTGTCATTTATGAAGAATGAAAAATAAATTTGATGTTATTGTTGGGAGAGTTAAATTTTTTCTAAAAGTGCACGTGTTCATCACTAGAAATTACTCCACAATCTTTAGAGTCAGAGGTTCGAGCCCGAGCGTCAACTCTAACCCATCGTACTTGACATAATATTTCTTTCTATAGGGGTTGATAGTCATAATGCGTTTATCTGTCATTTCGTCATATTCTAGAGCAGAGATGGCGAACCAATGGCACGCGTGCCATTTATGGCACCCGACACAATATTTCGGGCACGCCACCGATCACATTTGTTATTACACAAATGGTATTACACCATGAAGCGTATGTAACAATTAAATTAAAACTCACAAAAAACACAAAAAATAATAAGCAATTATTAATAAAAAATTAACAATTAATGCTAAAAAAAAACAATTAATAACCATAAAAAACAAGCTGACATTAAATAACTAGCAAAAAAATTAACAGTCCTGCTTAATCTTACAACCTAATATAGGTTATTTGTCATCTAATCTGCAACAACAGAAGTCACACTGATGCTACTTTAAATTGAATTACGCGTATAACTGAGACATTGCAGAATGTTTTTTTTTTTCAATGTAAATAAAGAGTTTTGAGTTGATAGTATTAAGAATTATTATTTTCCCAATAATCACGAAGTCAAAATTATTTGACGGCACGTCTATGACCTCATCAAAATTTTTTTTAGAAAAAATGGCACGTTGGTGTATAAAGGTTCGCCACCCCTGTTCTAGAGTAATTTCAATGTATTTTTAAGCATTTTTGTACGCTCCATTTCGATAAACATGAAATAAATTAAGAAAGTACCTTTTAGTACAGAATTTTAGTGTAACCTTTAAAAAAATATTTATTATTTACAAAATTTTTTTTTTTTTACAAAACAAGAAGTATATTAAATTCGGAATTTCTTAAAACAGCTTTTTTTTCAGTGTGATTATTTTTAAAAATTTATTTATTGATTATATGTTGTAATCAAAAAAATCCATACATAGTTAGTTAGAGTTATTTCATAATATTTTTAATCATATTTGTTCCCACCATTTTCTAAAACATAAAGTAAATTAAATGTAAAAGTTTTTTAAACAGTTAGTTCTTATCTCATTTGTTAGATAGTGATATCAGAATATTTTTATGAACTTGCACAAAAAAGAGAGTCTTTCATACAAATACTACGTAATACTTGAGTATAACGCAATTTTATAGCATAATCGTTCAAACTACTTGTTGTTATTAGAAATTAATGACTTTCACAAACAAATATTCGCCCCCCCCCCACACGTAAAAGTGAATTGTATACATTTAAAGTATTCTATACTTAATATTCATTAAATAAAATTAAGTGAAATAAATTTTGCAGGATTCTTGCTTGTAACCTTTTAATTTAGGTAAAAAGTGGAAAATACTTACAATCAATGAATGAGAAATCAATCAATGAGATCAATCAATTAGAAAACACGATCAACGCTTTCAGATGTCATTTTTATTCTCACAAAATTCATTTTAACTGCAATAAAGTTAAAATTTTGCACGGCTACCAATAGCACCAAATATGAATGTTTTTATAATTGCTTATTGAACCGTGGTGATTCAGGGCATAGAGAGTTCGCCTTAAAATGAGGTGAACCGGGGTTCGATCCCGGTGTGATGGCTGATAGATACGAAATCCGCATCTGGCTTGCACCGACCACAGTGCTGACGTGAAATATTCTCAGTGGTAGACGGATCATGGGTTAGAGTCCCCTTGCCGTCAGGCTAACCGCGGAGGTTCTCGTGGTCTTCCTCACCATGTAATGCAAATGTGGCTTAGTTCCATCAAAAAGTCCTCCACGAAGGTAAATTTCTTCCAAATCTTCTGGATTGGGTTCAAAATTACAAGGCTGCGTAGTTGAACATTAGTAGTCGTAGGGTCGGCTTCTCAACGACGGTTATAAAATAAAATATCTATTGAGCCGTGGTTGTTCAGGAGATAGAGTGCTCACCTCCCAATGAGGTGAACCGGGTTCCAATCCCAGTGATGATTGGTTGATACGAATCCGCACCCAGTTCACAACGACCATAGTGCTGACGTAGAATATCCTCAGTGGTAGGCAGATCATGGGTTAAAGTTCCCTTGCCGTGGGAGGCTTTTGTGGTTTTCTTCTCCATGTAACGCAAATGTGGGTTAGTTCCAGCAAAATGTCCTCCCAGAAAACGAAATTTCTCCCAATACTCGATACAGGAGTGCCCTTGGCTTCTGGATTAGGTTCAAAATTACAAGGCTACGGAGTTGAAGATTAGTAGTAGCACACTCAAAATTTGGGTCGGCAGTTCAACGACAGTTATAAAAAATAAAATAAAATTACACGGCAGTATTCTCGTGATTTGCATTTACATTCAATGTATCTTAGAAAAGGCTAGCTCTTAAAGAGTGGTTTCANCACTGAAACCAAGTGTTTTTTCAATAGCCCATTGTGCAGCTCTAGTGCGACGTAAAGTAACAACAACAACAACTAAAATAGAGCTCTACCGACAAAGACTTCTCACTTCTGCCTAGCTCATGCTCTCTCTTTTTAATTCAGTTTAAAAGCGCTATATGTTGAGCCATTTCAGCTAAATTTGGCATGTGACATTTTTAGTGGCAATCATTGGTCGATTTTCTAGCGTTGCCATTCGGGGAGTTGTAATGAGGCTTTTTTTTTGTCGTCGTGTAAGAGAAATATATATATAGATACTGAAAGTGACACTCATTAACATTTAGTATACATCACATAAACAGCGCCATCCAGTGACAAAACTAGTAACACAGGATTGGAAGATAATTATTTTTTAAATTTATGTATTTGATAACAGCTTTCTTTAATCTTAGAATTAAATTCAATAGATTTTATCAGTCAATTATAATATTCCGCTAGTTGTATAAATCAAAGAAATAAAGAGATCAAATGAAATAGAATAGAAAACACTGATCCAATAAAAGAAATAATAAATGAAATGATTTTATTTCCAATTGTGTTACAATCTGCAGGACTGAAGTTTAATTGATGATTAATATTTAAGAAACTGGTATGCATTGAGTGTGTCCAAGAAATATTCACCAAAACAATTAAATTGTACTTGGTCATTCTACTTGGACTTGGACAGTAGAACTGTCTGTAGCTTTTTTTTCTTCAGGTTTGACTTCCGGAATCGGAAGTAAAGGTATCCCTGCAGATTTTTTATTCTCAACGAGCTTGTGAAGAGGGGAAAAAAATAATCCAAGATCCTGATTCTCGTCTGTTGCTGATCTCCAATCTTCTTCCTTCAAATCTTTTTTCTGCAAGAAATTTCTCACTACTTCTTTTGCTAGACCGTCTACTGTTTCCTAAAACAAAAATAAATGCTTACTATAACAATGATAAGCAAACTGGCTTTAATAAATGAAAGGTATTAAAACGAAAAGTTAATGTTTCCTTTTTTGTATTACAGTTTTTTTTTAAATAATAATTTATCAATAAGTTCCACAGAGTTAGATTAATATATTTTATTAAATAAATTTTACGACCTTTACAGTTTATATTCTTAAGAATACTGATGAATTTATGTTGACATTCAAACATAAATTTAATTTCTTCACATTCGTTTATTTCTAGATTTTTTTTTATTAATAAATTTCGGTTGGATACCTGCAAATGACGTCATCGTAGGTAAATCATGGCATTTCTCGCTATAGAAGCAAACCAGGCTCGACACAGAAGCGTGACGTCGCTTATTGATATGCAATTAAATCTAATTGGAATCACATGATTAGGCATAATCACTTCACTTCTTGAGTTGCAAGTACCCAATTAACACATTCATAAGCATAAATTTATAAGAAAAAAAATTGAAAAATAAATGAATGTATTTATTCATTTTTGTTTAAATCAAACTCCAATGCATCACAATTATCATTTCTTAGGAAAAATAATTAGAACAATTTATGACCGTCTTAATTAAGTATAAAAATGTTAACGTATTGTAATGATGCTATGGATAGACATAACATTTAAACAAAAATATGTTGTTTCTGATTACCAAATCAGTCGTATCTTCTTCATGTGCTGACGATTTTCTTACAATTGATGCATCATATCCTAGGACTAGCTCTATCCAACACGGGAAAGAAAAAAAAATCTAATCTGATCTCTAGAAGGAAAATTTTAGATACTTTTATTAGTCCAAAGCATTTTAGCTTTTAATCAAATTAAGTAATCATTTTAATGCGAACCAATTTTGATTAATTTTCTCTGATCGAATAATAAACCTACCTGTTTTGGTTCAGATCTTTTTTAAAAACATTTAAGTTTTGATTCTAACATTTTTTTTCATTTCATTGCATTTAGTGCATTCATTCATTTCATTCATTTATTTCATTCATTCATTCATTTCATTGCATTCATTCATCCATTTTCATTTTATTGCATTCAGTAAAGGGCTAAGTAAGTCGCCTGTTCGTTGATTTCTTCGAGCGTAATGATACTTTTTCGCCTTTTAAACTAGTCAACAAAATGGCGACAGTTTGCCCATGTGACAGGTGGCAGCCAATCGAAATCGAAAGAGGCACAAAGTTCACAAGGAAGAGTGATGCTACTTTATCTGCGTTTTAACTTTAAAAAGATGAATATTCAAATAATTTGCACAGTAATATGGTTCAACCTGATAACAATTAAGATAGCAGCTCCAAAATTTCTAAGTGTGAAAATTAGACATTGGATTCTTAAAAAACTTGCGAAATAGAAGATGATATCGAAAAATTTTTTTTTAGAAATCAAACGCATAATTTAAAATGGATTAATGTCGTAATTTCTCTTTTCTTCCATTGAACAATATGAATAAATAAAGTACTTACAGATTTGCTGTTAAAGAGAGCCTCTTCTTCAACTTTTCTGTACGCTTTTGAGAAGGTGTAGTGCAAGTAGCTGTCACTATTGCAACATGCCGCACAGCTCCGGACTATAAATATAAAAGGAAAAAGCTTACAGACAACAAAAGAAGGGAATATGCTCAGATCTCAGGAAACTCAACATTTGATATTCTAAAATTTATCCGTCTAAATTCGAACGATTTCGTTAAAATTTTGTCATTTAAAATTACGTACATAAAATGATATAACAACTTAAACGTTTTATGCTGGGAAAAAAAGTGTGGTCAAAATTACCAGAAGATAGAAAATTGAACCATGTTTCTGGCTCTATGGGAACACCAGAAAGTTTAGTAATTTTTACCGAAGCGCTTTGGTAATGATTTTAGCAAAATTAACAGGAAAGTGTAATTTTATAATCTGTGATATAATTTGGTTTGGTAATTCAATCATGATATAAGTGCTTGGTATTCCGTTTTGCACTTCGAATCAGAATTAGTTAATGACGTCAGTGTTCTTGATTATTCAACATAACATAACATAAGCAACTTGTAACTTTCAAAATGATTTATTTTGCTGTTCTGTTTACAAATATATAAAATACTAGCTTCATCAATAAACTCGAAACATTCAATGATTAAAAATAGCGTAAATATAAATGCATCAATGCTTGAAAATAAATAAACTCAGAGCCATCTTGTTTCAGAGCCATCTTGATCAGAGCCATCTTGTCAAAAAAAAAAAAAAAAAAAAAAAAAAAAAAAAAAAAAAAAAAAAAAAAAAGAACGGACAAGCTCAAAAAAAGCAAACACAAAATGTTACCATAGCAGCTTAATTTTATGAACTAGCTAGATCAACATTTGGCATAAAAAAACCATTTTTTCGGTTTTATTTACTTTTCAGTTTTGCTTCTATTGAGAATATAAACAAAAATGTTCAAAATTAATGTCTTTAAATTTTTGCCGATTATCAGTGATTTTATTTCATTTGAGTAATTAATATAAGGGGTCGTTCAAAAAGTGCGTACACAAAAATGGAGAAATTTTAACCCCCTCCCCCCTTTCGTACTTAACCGTACATAAGGTCTTCTCCCCCCCCCCTTAGAGCACGTACATTTTATCAGTCTACCCCCCTTTTTCATAAAAATTAAAATAATTATGTTTTAAATAAAATTAAATATTTATTTAAGGAGTGTGTATAAAAAAGTCAAATTTAAATTTGATGCATGCTTATAATGTACGTACTTTGTATAATACCTCCCCCCCTCCCCATCATACAAAACCGTACAAAATAGCAAATCCTCTCCCTCCCCTTCGGGATGTACGTACTTTTTGAACGGCCCCTAATTGAATATTTTAAAAAATATTAAAAATGAATTAACAATCTCCAAATGCTAACATTTTGTTTATGTATATTGTAGACATCAACAATAGAGCTGAAAACAATGCAATTAGGATCAAGAAAACTTCAAGCGGTTTTGGAAACATTTCAACATTTTATTGTTCTTTTTGCAATTATTCAAGCTATGTTCTATCCAATGTAAAACAACACCTTCGTAAACATACCGGAGAGAGGCCCTTTGTTTGCAAATTTTGCTGTAAAAGTTTTACTCAAAAACATAATCTCAAAGTCCATGAAGCTAAACATAGGCTTTAAAAGATTTTAATAAGTTGGTTTGATTAATTTGTTCTTAAGTTAATAATGTTACTTTTATGTGCAGAAAATTTTTGTATGTTTTTATTCGGAAATTTCTTTAATTTGAAATCTTAACTATTTATGATCCTATTTTTGCTTTCTTTTAGAATTCCTCTTATTCTCTTTATATAATTTCAGTTCCTTTTTGTTATTTTATCCTATTTTTGCTGTTAAATATGATTTTATTTCTACTCTTTTGAAAGTAATTGCTAATGAGATCAATGTCACTAACATACTTTTTGCTGTAGAAGGGTGATAGTTGTCACGCAATGGCATGATAACCGATCAGTTGTCAGCCATCGTTCTATAATATTCACGCCTGAAAGTTAAGCATGTACTTGTTTTACTCATGAATCCACAAAAAGGGACCATATAAANCCCGGCCAATAAAAATGTAGCGTTAAACGTTTAACGCAACCTTGTTATAAGTCGCATAAGAAGTATAACTTCAAAAATTTCATTTAACTAACGACATATTAATAAAGATATTTTTATTTTCTCTCAAAAAAAAAAAAAAAAAAAAAAAAAAAAAACAGAACGTTATTTTCTTGAAATTTGACGATTTAGTGTAGCTTTGAAATCTCCATAGGGTAGTTTTTTCTCCCGATCGAGCGAGCGGACGGCCTTAAGATTGAAGCATTAAGTTCCTTATTTTACGCATGGTACCATGAAGTACTTTCACAACGTTAAAAAAAAAAGAAAACTTTGATTTTTTTAATTAACATTTAGATTGCATTACTGTCGCAATTAAGATATTGTTATTATTTTTGCTACTTATGGAAGTGCCATATTACCACAATGCCGGCTGGCTAACAAATGTCCTAACTAGTCTCTATGGGTGAATATATTTTACATAAAATGCTTTACATAAAAAGTAGTGTTTTTTGTCAAAATGATTATCTATACTTACTAAAGCAAACTACAGCAAAGAGACCACACAAAGCCCACAAACCATAATGTTGCGATAGTTTCTTAAACTTTTGATAATCTTCACTCTCTACCGTGCACATATCTGCCATCATGCACGCTATATAGCTAAATAAATTTGTAAATTGATATTATTAAGTGTCTTAAGGTTATCAACAATTTAAAAACTAAATTAAAGAAAAACAATAGTATAGAAATAACATAGAAATGTAATATTTACTATAGAAACGTAATATAAACTGCATTCTACTTACACAACCAGAAAATTATTTTGCAACCAAGTTAACTACTTTCAATGTTTGTCAATAGATGGAGCTGCTGAAAAAATATTCCAAACCTGGGTTCTTCATGGAAAAAAATTTTTTGGTAGCTCCATAACATTAGTTCTCCAAACTTTTACTTATTCACCATGAGTTGTTGCAAGTGGGGAGGAAGGTTAAATAGAAATCTCAAAATCCCCTTCAGTATCAAACCAATAAAAAAAAAAATTTAAATTATAGTTGATTTATATTCCTTTTAGTTAAAATGTAGAAAATGTTAATATTTTCGAAGATATTTAGCACACTTAACGATTTTTTTTTCTTATATGTATGAAATTTTTTTTTAAATGTGCTAAACACCTTCAAAATATTAACGCTTTCACTGACTGCTAACTTCAATATTTATCCCCTCAAAAATATTTTGAGCCCTTTACCTGCCGTTTTCATTTCTGTTTAATTATTTTACAATATAGAAAAGGCTATTTAACTTACTCGCCATCCAAAACTATCGCAAAGATCCATGCGACAGGAACAATCATTGTTTTACAACAAACAGTGATGAAAGAAATAAAATAAAAGCAACAGACTTGTTTACTACAAGACACATGATAACAACCATGACAAGCTTTCCATGTTTGGGCGTAAACTATAAGACCTGAAAAAAAATCGATAGATAAATTCAATATAGCATCTTCGAAAGATACAGAGTGCTTCAGAATAAGGTGGCCAAAATGAAAAATCAACACAAGCAATCAAAAAAAAAAAAAAAAAAAATTTAAAAAAAAATCATACGACACCACGCTGTAAATGTTGAAAAATTAGCCGTTAGAGGGCGCTTAATAAAATCACGAGCTATCCATCGCAATCCCCAGATTTACCTACTATATATTTTCATTCAGCCGCGATTGCTGAGGAGATAGAGAGTTCGCCTTCCGATGAGGTGAACCGAGTTCAAATCCCAGTGATGGTTCGTCGATACGAGTTCCGCATCCGGTTTGCACTGACCACAGTGCTAACGTAAAATATCCTGCGTGGTAGACTGATCATGGGTTCGAGACCCCTTCGCGTCAAGCTAACCGTGGGAGGTTTTCTTCTCCATGTAATGTAAACGCTGGTTAGTTCCATCAAAAAGTCCTTCACGAACGCAAATTCCACCAAATGCTTGATCCAGGAGTTCCTTTGTCTTCTGAATTGGGTTCAAAATTACAACGCTGCGTAGTTGAACATCAGCAGTCGCAAACCTGAATATTGGGTCGGCTTTTCAACGACGGTTATAAAATATAGAGATAATAATATCTTGATTGCATGCATTCTAAAAATCAATAAGAGAATTAAATCAAAGAGTAAAATTCGGGTTTATTGAGTAAGAAAAAAAGTATATTACCTAGCAGCCAAAAAAGTGCAAAACCTCCAAAGATGAAAGAGAGACCATAAGCGTATGCTAATTCTTTAATGCAGGGACAGGAAAAAAGGCCATTCTCTTCTATGAGATACTCCGATCCAAAGGCAAGAACCACACCAATTATATTCGCTACTGTAAAAAGATGAGTTTCAAAAATATTCGAAAAACTCCTTGAGATGGATGTTACTTTTGTCCAAATAGCTGCTACTCCCATTTTTGCCTTCTCAAAAAGTCTTCTCGTTAGTTCAGAATACTATTAAAATAAGAAAAATATTGTTTTTTTATCAAAAAAGTTAAGGATGCAGATTAAAACACTTACACTCTATAACAAAAAAATCGACGCACCAAGAAGGAGTTGTCCGATTAAAACGAAAATTGGTGGATAGGAAGACAATGTACCGAATGGTAAATGATTAAAATTTCAGAACAATTGAATAATTTATTGCAGAGTTACAGTAACAAGCTCAATAAGGTGTTGACCCGCCTCTAGCCAGCATACAAGCTGCCACACGGCGTGGCATAGACCGATAAAGCTCCCGGATGGTCTCTTGCGGTATTTCCTGCCAAATTCAATCCAATTGTCGAACGAGGTCATCAACATTCCGTGCCAGATGCAATCGCCTTCCCCTCATATCCCAGACATGCTCGATTGGAGAGAGATCTGGTGATCTGGCAGGCCAAGGAAGAGTTTGACAAGCTTGCAGACAGTTCATAGCAACACGTGCCGTATGTGGTCTGGCATTGTCCTACTGAAAAACCAGCCCAGTGCGCTGCAAAAGGAACGGTAGCAAAACAGGTGTTAGGATGTCGTCGACGTACCGCCGTGTACGTCTAAGACGACCAAAGGAGTACGGCTGTCAAAGGAAATGGCACCCCAGACCATAATGCCTTGTTGAGGGCCGGTGTGGCGTGCAATAGTGAATGCAGGATCCCCCCTCTGCCCTGTGCGTCTCCAAACACGTCCTCGATGAACGTCAGGACACAGTTGGAAGCGGCATTCGTCGCTAAAGACTATACGTACCCAGTCGGCATCATTCCAGCCTGATCGAGTTCGATTTTGCGCGTATTAGTGCGTTCTTGGTGCGCCGATTTTTTTGTTATAGAGTGTATTTTAATAACACTAAGAAAATTTGCTCAATTATACCGGGGATCAAACTTTTCATACAAGTAGTTGATCTTGCCGGGTGTGGGGATTTCAAGTCTGAAACCAGTTTTGTTCGAAAAGCTACAGACATTTTCAAAAGGATATTTTTAGTTCAGTTTATTTTTTGTCTAAATGTACGAGCTTATAAAGAAATTGAAGTTTAATATACACTTATCTGTCCCTTTGAAAATAACATTTAGGACAAAAACCATATGACCTTAACGTTTCGCGTCATAAACTGAAAGGTAATTTCGCCTTTTTCCTTCCACTCAATGTGTAACAGAGAAGTGGAGACTCTTAGTATATTACTAAATCGCATAAAAATTATAGCTTGGGGAGAAACTGATTGCAGATTTGAAATCAAAGACAAGAAAATATATAAGGTCCCATCAAAAATTTCATTAAACAGAAAAAGAAATTATTCTCCAGTGTTATTTGTTTATGAGTTCCTGTGGAAATTGACTCCACTCGTACTTCTAGGCTCTGAATGGGTGACGGACGGTTGCGAATAGAATTGCGTTTATTAGAATGTTCCAGACATCCTGTATGAGTTCGAAGTCTGGAGAATTGGTTGGCTTCACTTTCCAAAAAATCATTGACCAGAGGAGTTCGATGCGGTAGTGTGTTATGCCTATCAAGTTAGGTCCGGTTGTACGATTGAAAAAACAAACGCAGCTCTCCGAAATCTCACTCCTATACCCCACATTAATCACAGTGCAGCCTTCCAAAAGGATCTGCCCAGATCATTAGACTTCCGTTGCCGCAGTAGGTCATGAAAGTGCATTGTAACTATTGAATAGTTATTATTATTCTTTTCATTATATTAACCCTTAACGGACCAATGCCGACATATAAACCTTTCACTTACTGGGTCAAGTATCGTGCATATAATGGCGAAAATCATTTTACTATTTTTGACACAATTAAAGTTCTCCTATTTGTAACTAATTGAATTGTAATTTATTGCATAATTGTAATTAGTATTATAATTAATCATTATAACTACCAGATGATAATTAATTTTGAAACACTTTTTGATCATTAGGGGTGAACATCTGTTCAAACCAAATTTCATAAAATTTTATTCCAATAAATATAGAGATAATCAATCGAAATCTTAAAATTTTCTTAATTTCAAACATCGGAGTTGTTCTAAGCATGAAGAACAAATTAAAAGGAAATACTTTCATAATTTGGATTTTTAAATATTATTAGAAAAAAAAAACCTGAAAAACACACAAAACCTGGAAAAATGTTCGCTTAAAAGATGACTAGACATTAGCATGGGCCAAAAAGACTATTTTATTTTAAAACATACCCCTCAAAATTTAGTGTTTCAACAGCTCTTAATCACAAAGTAAACTGAATGTTGGGAAAAATATGAAAAAAATAAATCAATGTTTTTTTTTCTGTTATAAGTTAACATGATAAAAAAAAAATTAGCAATTAAAAATTTTATCCTTTTTATCTGCATTAAAGTTATCAAAACTACAGCAAGAAGTGTTTTGTTTCTTTATGCTAAACAGCAAAGCAAAATTTCTCAACTACAAAAGTGTAGCGTAGTTCGTTTCGGTAATTTTTTTTAACGATTTAAGCGCTTTAAATTCATTCTTATAAAAACACTGTTTCTTTGAAAACAGTGTCAGTTTATACTAGCTCGAAAAAAGGTATTTGTTTCTTTATACTAAGAAATAGCAAAATATTATTTTGAAAAAAATATTAGCAAAAAACAGATCGTTAATTGCTGTTATGAGCTGTCGTTACAAAACATCATTCTGTGATATCGACGGTCGTCATAGTAAAGGAAACTATTAAAGAATGGTGAAAAACTGAACAAAATCCTTAGTAAAACTTATTGCAACAGAAATATACACGTAATAAACGGAAATATTATGAATTGCTCTTGAAAAAAATTATGTTTGAAAAATAAATATCCCATGAACTGTCGTCCCAATTAATTTTTCCAATACGAGTTCTTTTTTTTTATGCTTACTTTTTCGTGGGAAGGATTTAAATATACAAAAGTGAAATGACGGTGAAAAATTACTGTACGAATAAAAACATGATTTCAGAATCGTCCGCACGTGTAGAATAAAAACATGATATCAGAATCGTACGTTCGTGTAGAATAAAAGCATGATTTCAGAATCGTACGTACGTGTAGAATAAAAACATGATTTCAGAATCACGTGAAGAAATCTAAAAAATGTTCTCGTTCAAAGTACATAGCTGGAACGATGACTGTTCTCTATTGTAACGGAAAACATTAAAGAAACTAACAATATTAACTGACTATTAGGCCAATATTCTTTTTTTCTTCAAACTAACAAACTATTACGACATGCGAATAACGAATTGCTTGTTTGAGTAATTGCACTTTGACACTCACAATGGGTTTTCGCAGAATTTTTGGATTCTATATATATATTTTTTTTCAATATTATATTATTACAACTTGCGAATTTTGGAGAAATTTCCATAACTGGGAAAAGCTTGGATAAATTAAAGCTTTTTTTCTTTAAATAAAAATTCAATCTGTTTAACAAAGTTATTATGAAGTAATAGGCTACTCCTTATTATTTTATGATGTAAAGTTAATTCTAAAATAAGGTGTAATTATTTCTTAAAATTTTATTTCTTGGTAATCACTATAAATTATTGGCATATAAATTTTTTTGGCATATTTTGTTGACCAAGCTCTGTATAAAAATTAGATTTTTAGAACTTATAGCAGTTATTGCTAAGAAAAATTGGTTTTATGAAACTCGAATTTCAAATTATTACATTAAACTTTTTTCGGCCCAAACCCTTTTTGTTTCTAAAATTTTAGACGTAAAATTTTGTAACTTTTATCTTTGATTCTGAGTTTTATCACAAATCACATTAATATCCCTGATTCTGACTTATACTTATAATTTTAGGATATTTTTTAAAGTTATTTCAAGGCTAACTGCTTTGACTTCTGCTTAACTAATTCCCTTATATTCTTCAAAAAATATACAAAAGAAAGGGGAATGAGAAAGAAAAATACAGATATGACACTTGTTATGACACCAGAAAAAATGGCACAGATGTGACCTATGTTATTTATTCATTCTTTGAAGAAAAATATAAATGCCAAATCTATTTAAAATGAAGACACAATTAAGTAACATTTTAATACAGATAACTGTTTATCAATACTGCACAGGTGTTAAAATTCAGAGAATAAAAGGATAAAACAATTTGCAAAATACCAATCTCAAACGTTTTGTTATTACTATTAATAGGAACAAGGAGAAAAACAACATGCGATTTTTAATTATTCTTGCATTTCTTTGCTGTTTGGCATTCGTAAGTAATTTTTTATGCATATTCAACTGTAGCCACTTTTAAAAACATGTGGATTTCTACAAAAATTGAAATTTTTAAATAATTAAAAATATATTGATATTAATAATGTAATGAATTTCTTCTGAATCATTTCTTAAAATGAAATAAACATTACGAAGTTTATTTCTAAGATGTAGAAACATTTTAAGAAACAAGTGTAAAATAAAATAATTTTCCAAATATTATTAATATATTTATAATAATTATGAAAAATAGTAATAAAATGCAAATGGGTTGCAATTTTGGCGAAAAATTGGCAATGGAGTGGCGACTCGTAAACAATAACTTCATAATCGTCCTTCGTTATGTTTAGTCACCCTGATGCCGATAGTGGCCGTTGAACTTCAGAAATATTTTATTGCTAACGATATTTATAATGTTAAAATATGCCCCAAAATTGTTAAATTAAATCAAATAACATATAATTTTTTCAAAAAGCATTCTGGTCTAAAAGCTAAATACAGATGAATAAGAAAAATTATATTTTAAATTTAATATTTCAAATAATTTTTTTGTTTATTTTCAGACATTAGCGACAAAAAGCTGCAGTAAGCAGTCTGACTGTGAAGAAGATGAATGTTGTCTTGATAATTTGTTCTTTAAGCGTCCATTTTGCACAAAAAGATTTAGCGCAGGTTCACAAATGTTCTATTTATTTGAATTTTTATTTAATTTTTTACTAGAGTATTTATTATTTTATATTCTATATGCCACTTTTTTTATTAATAAGTTTTTCGTCATTTTGTCCCTTTGCTAAAAACTAAAGTCGTCCCATGTAATATATAAACAAATCACGAATAAATTTATCATAATCTGAACCATGAAATAAGGTTAATTGAAATACGTGTTCCAGAATGCCGTATAGAAACTTGAGGAAGAGGTAGAGAACATTATTATGAGTCATCACTACATATTAACCCCTTAACGATCGGTTAATTTTCAAGAAAACGATCCTAAAAGTGCCTATTTTTTTATTAGTGCTATTTGATTAGCGCTGACATCTAGTTTAAAATAAGCTAACTATCTACAATTACCTTATAAATGTCCTGGTATTGCCATCTGGTGTGTAAAATGAGAAATGAAATGTTTTTCTGGCAAAAGAAATGAATTAGTTCTATTCTTATTGGCGCATTGCTACTGAACACTCCAGCCCGGAAATATCACGGGAGCGAGAAATAGAGGGCGAAACCTCACCCCGTCATTTTCACGGGAGCGAGAAGGAAGGGGTTAAAGCGAGGGTGGAAGCGTCACCCTTATTCTTTATTACGCAACAAAAGAGTACTATGTATGACGTACAAGTATCATAGGAGGTGTTCCAAATTGCGCCTATTGGCTAAGATGCACGAACGACGCCCACGCGACATGCATTGGCGAATATTTTCGGAGATACCAGGCACTTCACTGATCGTAGCAGTAGCGATGGAGATTCGAGTCACTAGATCCATTTCAGAATTTACGGGAGGGTCGTTCACAATGCCTTTCCTGACACCCCCGAAAAAAAATATCAAGGAGATAAATCAGGTGATCTGGGAGGCCAAGCAATGGGACGACCACTCCCAAAAGGTTGAAACCATACTCCTCGCCGAACATGTGCGGAGACACCGTTAAACATTTTCGGAAGTACCTCCTGAAGAAAACGGGATAATTATGAGAGTCCAGTTGAGGAGGTAAGATGAATGGCCTGATTAAAATGCCCGCAACAATACCTGCCAACTCAGCGTTGTTGTGCAGTTTGTGGTTGGCTTGGCAAACAGAGTTTACATGTCCATTGTTTAGAGGCCACAGGTGCTTGGTGTGCATATTGAACCCCATCCCGTGAAAAGATTACTTCATAACTGAGTGAAACAGAACTGGAAAATTGCACATCTGTCGTACTTTGGTGCAGAAACCACTAATTTTCTACTAATAACAGAAATAGTTTTAATATTGCCTGTACATTTATAGTATTTAAATTATAAAATTTTTGACATGAAGGGAAAAAAATTATTCTTTTTTGGGTTCCCCAAGAACTTTCAATATTGTGTAGATGATAAATATTGTTTAATGAGTTGAATGTTCAAATGTGAATTTTTACAGGCAAGCGTTGTATAGCTTTATCAAGGTATGACGAAGAGAAGGACATTTACTATACGACTTGTCCTTGTGTTCAAGGTCACGAATGTAAAGGTGAAGAAACAGAAGACGATGGAGTAAGTATGAAATTACATTTAGCTAAATACATGAATCAGCCATGCCTTTAGACAAAACAATCAATTAGATCCAAGAAGCAACCGTCTAAATAAATGAATCATCACGCTTTCAGAACGAACGTCCATTTAGATACATCTAACTAAATCCTTGATTCATTCAAGACTTAGATCCTGTAGCCCACTAAATCCATGATTCCTCCAAGATTTTAGACCTTAACATACAAATGAATACATGAATCATATAGGATTTTAGATTTAGCTTCTTTGTTTTGAAAATTGATTTGAAAGTAGACATGCTCCATTTTAGCTTAAATTCTTTGATTATAATTTGCTTGTTGATTTTTGTTCTTAACCTTTTTTTCTTTTTAATGATACACTCCCCTCCAATAGCATTATATCTTCAAAGAAAGGTTGGGGGGCTAGAAAAGCTATGTTTGGGTAGGTAATTTAGTAATGAGTATTTGCCTATTTATCATATTTTTTTCAATGCCCACCCGATTGACACTCGTCATTCAGATATCACAGTAGGCCACTCTTTCAGGGGCACCATATTAGGTGGGCCAACGTTGCTCCCACAGTAAGAACGGATAGTACAGAGAATGAAAGAACCTCCATGCCTTGTCTGGGATTCAAAACTAAGGCCTTTTTCATGTGAGGTCAGCTCTCAGACCACTGCACAGTCAGATCAGCTTATCAATTTTCATCCAAAATTTATTTATTTAATGTTAAAACTAACGAAAACGGCTTTGTACGTTAAAAATTACTTTTAACTCGAACTGTGTACAAGGAAAGATATTCTTCGAATCATTTCATATTTTTAAACATTCAGACATTAAATTATTTAGCTGAAAATGCAGGTTATAAAATTCTATTGTTGTAAGTATTCAATAGCCCAGTAAAATTGGATTTTTGTCCGCAAAAAAAATGAATACTCAAGATTTCTTTCATAAAAAAAACTTGAATTACTATATTTTAAATGATAACTGAAACCTTTTCTACTTTCCTCTGCATGCTTCTCCCCCTTTTGGGGGGAAAATGAGGGTGTTTTGAAGGGGAGAATTGAATTGTTTCTTGACAGGCAAATGAGGCATTGCTTACAATGTGATTCTCGATGTTAAATTAAATGATATGAATTTTAAGAAGATTATATAGGGTTATATAAGTCATAAAGGGTTTGTGTACAAAAAGTACAAATTTGAACTTGAACCCATTTACACAACTGATGTATTACTATCTAAACTAGAAAACATGGTTTAATTAGTAAAATTTTACGTTGAATCAAATAAGACTATACTCGAGTTAATAAAACGAATAGTTCAGAAGTTATATATGTTTTTGTGTAAAGAAAGTACTACTTTTGGCACGTATTTGCGTACAATTTTTTTTTGTTGCTATCTAGGGGCTATTTGAACTTGTTAGCTATTTGTAGGGACTGTTTGAACATAATCCGTCATACATTTTCATGCTACATTGAATCCACATTAAAACATCACATAATCTATGTTACATTAATTAACATTAAATCTTTAACATGATTTATTAAAACTCGAGTTGGTTGGATAAATAGTTGTGGAGCTATAACAGCTTTTCGAACAAAAAATACAATTAATTCTAGCATTTATTTACGTATTTAACATTGCTAACAGATAAGTGAGGTATTGTTTCATATATATTTATTTTCACTTTAACGAAGGAGACCCAACACGAATCAAAAGAGTTTAAAAAAGTTGGTGAAATATACTATTTAAAGTTTAAAAAGTTTTAAAAGTTGGAATGGTGAAATATACTATTTTTGAACTGAACTTATTATGAAGAAAATATGTATAACTTTCAATACTATTGATTCGAATAACATTTCATTTAAGTCAGTATAAGAAATTTCCCCGAAAAAGGCACCTCATATGTTCTGATAGCTCTTAGATAGCAAAGTAAGATGTGTACATATAGTTCATGTCAAAAATAGTACGTTTTACACATAAAATCGGTTGCAACTTTTGAATTATTCGTTCTATTGACTCGTGTTTAGCTTCATACGATTCAACGTGAAAAACTAATTAGGAAAAAACGTCTCACTTCCTAAGATAGCACTGACAGTTGCGTTAACTGGTACAAGCAAAAGTTCGCACTTTTGCATGCAAAACTCTTGTAACATCTGAACTTTTAGTCCGATCTTCTCGAGATAAAGCTATGACCACAAAGCGTACATACAAATGATGTATAATTTTTTTTTTTATCTCAAGCAAAATATATGCAATAAAACAGAACCATTTCAAATCAAAAATTAATGCGAGAAAAGAACATTAATAATTGATATATATTAAGAGTGGAAATTATGAAACACCTTGTAGGGCAATAATTTTTTTTAAAATTAAATAAAGGTGATGCCCTATGGCGATTTGTCTCCTCGTTAGTAATTTGATATAAGATTGAAATACCTGGTGGATGAAATATATTTTTCACCTGAATGGGCGAACTAATGCTTCTGTAACCATATAGTAGTTTTTTTTATACTTTTGTAAATTATGCAGATTCTTTAAACCTACTAAAATTAATCTTATTTATTACTCAAACACAAATAAATTTATTATTATTATTATTATTTTTTTCTGCGTTTCGCAATAGCACTTTTTTATATTTCAGAATTGGCAATTTATTGATATCAGATTCTCTTGAAAAAAATACAGATAATTCTGATTATAAATAACTTTTTTAAAAGTGTGATAAACAAAGAGAATTAGTGATAAAGTAACAATATGTACTCAAATATTTATGAAAAAGAAGAAAGAAAAAACACTTTCACTTCAAAAACAAATCGATATGATTCATGGAACTTTTACTTTTTTTAAAATTATAACTATACTCCTAATGAACATAAATAAATTTTCCGAAGAAAATCCCTTATATCACTAAAATGATAGTCATCAATACGAGACATCCTGAATGCATTATGAATTTTTTACAAACTTCATATGCATTACTTATCATGCATGTGTCATAAAAGGAATTAAAAAAACTAAACATTTTATTTCGAATTATTTTATAGATACCTTTCAGCATTTTACACAACCGTCATAAATGTAAATAGAAGATGCATAATTTAGTTCAGAAATAATTTGATATTCTAAGACAAACATTCTAACAATAAAATAATAAAATATTTTTAAATAGCTGTCCTAGGGCTGAAATAGCCTGTTTGGTAAGACATTGAACTCATGTTCGTGATATTGGAAATTCGAATCCCTGTAACCGTGAATTAAATGTTGACTGAAGTAAGTTAAATCTTCCCGGGTCACAAAGTCCTCCAAGTTCCATTGACAACCTCTTGGGTACTGAATTCTGGTTCAGGTCAAAATAGCGATATGTGGATGAATGAATGGGCCCTCCCTGTAAAACGGGCTGTGACGTGTGTGGCTGAAATCGTATTTTTGGCCATAGATGGCTCCACTGAAAAACAAGAGACGCATCCTCTGCCTTCAATTCGCTTCGTTTTTCAAGCAGGCTTACTGGCATTGGGTAACAACATAATTTCTCATAAAATCAATTTGATTAATTTCGAAAATATTAAAAGCGTAAAAACAAAAATTATTGTAGAAAATATCGTTAATTTTGGAGAAAAAAAAATTTAATTGCTGAAAAGGTATTGCACTTAAATTTGCTCGCTGTCACTCCAGTTTATTAAAAGTTAGGTCAAACAGGTTTAAAAAAGACCTTTATTATCTTTTTGACTTTATAAAAATTACGTTGACAAATATTTATAGTTATGTGAGCAACAAATACTTTATTTAAATGAATATTCTGACAATTGTTTAAAATACAACTTATCGCAAACTAAATATACCTAGCCATGGAGTCGCAAAAACTTGCTCAATTCCAATTCTAGTAAGTGAAAAGTTAAGTCATACATGTTAAAAAATTAAGAGAAATGTTTGACCTTATAAAAATTGTTTTAACAAATATTTATAATTACATGGAAAAAATATTATTCAAGTGAATATTATATTTATTTAAAAAACTTCTCATGAACATTAATACATCACATTTGAGCGCTTCTGAATCTTTATTTAATAGAACCATTGGAAAAGACACAGAAAAGTTTTGAAACTATTCAAAATCTTTATTGAGCTATCTTATAATTATTGATACCTAGCTCTTTTCTGTCCTTAGTTTTACACAATGTCAATGTTTAGTATAAAAAAATTTAATTTGCTTGACTATTATGTTGAAATATATAAATGTTTTTTCAGTAAAATGCTATTAATTTTGATTCGGGGACAAAACTTCGCGGGTAGAAAGCTTCGTTGTTCTATAACAGGGGTTTCCAACTTACATGAGGCCGGGGGCCACAATTAAAAACACAAATCAAATGGCAGGCCGCAACTTTGTCAAAATTTTATGAAGGACTCTTTTATGTTTGAATGAAGATTAAATATTACTGTCAGATTTTTACCAAGTTGACAAAACAAAAGTATTGAATTACAAATTAAAATAAGAAGTTGATTTTTAAAAATATTTAATTGTTATTAATAATATTTAAAAAAAATATTAAATAAGTAATAAAAATTCGGGCTACAATAACTTTAATGTGCACCTATGTATTGATCAATTTATGTGCAACAGATATCTAATTGTTAAAATACAAAACTTTAAAAAGGTTAGTATTAAAACTTACACAGTAGCACACAAAATGTTCAATGAGAAAATTGAGGTTTGTCTGCTGCAACCACCAGAGAATAGATATTTGCATTTAAAATTTACAAATGAGTGTATAAATATTTTTGTTCTAAATGAGTGGTTTCAAAAAGTTAAATCGGAGAACTTCTTCGAGAAAATTTCTGATACACACATGCTAAATTATATTCACAAAATAGAAAAAAAATGAAATAAAAAAAGAGCAATATACACAATTATTTTTGTATTTGTAATATTTTCTTGGATGCAAAACCTGAGAAATAAATTTTTTTGCACCGTTGGTATGTTAAATTTCACAGAAACGAAGAAATTAGGTTTTCATTAACGAGAAAAGTATTTTAAACCCATATAGATTTTTTTACGAAAATTGTCCGCAAAAAATGACAACCAATATATTTTAGTTCGCGGGCCATAAAAGAAGGCTTCGCGGGCCGGATGCGGCCCCCGGGCCGCCAGTTGGAAATCCCTGTTCTATAACTTCACAGCCCCGAAACTCAGCTGATCCATGACTTAGCCAACCTAGAACTTAGCAATTCTAATTCTATCTACAACTTTTTTTATTATTTTATTACTTATATTAATTTGCGTGTAAAAGAAAATTATAATTATTATTTAATTATAACATTATTAATTATTATTTAAATTCTAAAAATTCGACGAAAGAAAGATAAATTAAAGTTTAAAAACACATTAAGATTTCTAAAATTATTTCATTTTCAGCATTACTGCATTTTTTATTTTATTTTTAAAATTAAAAATGGAAGATTTTGTGCGTGATATATTATCAACACGAAGTTTGGTCCATACTAAGTTACGGCCACATATTTCTGACCCATTACTATTCATTCTAATTGTACATACAAATAAAAATATATAATTTATAATAAATATTGACTTATAATATTAATACTTTTTCAGGAAACGGTTGAACTTTATATTGCTCATGAATAAGTTGGACATTTTAATTACAAACGTTTAATTACAAACACGGCATTTTCGGATAACTAATTGTTCTTTAATAATCGATTCCACATTATACAATAGCTATTTTCTAGATATATTTCAAAGCACTGCTACAAACATAAAAGGATTTTTTATTTTATAAATAAAAATATTTAAAAGTTTAAAAGTAAATAAATATAAAAAAATATTAAAACAAAAATCGTTCGATATAGTCAAGTACCGAAAAAAAAAAAATGCTTAATGACTACCCGCAAGTATTGAGAAATGAAAATATTCGAATGTAAATTAAATTCTTATTGTAGTAATTAATAATGATAACTCAGGGGATAGAGCTCTCGCCTCCCAATAAGATGGTCCGGACCCGAGTCCCTGCTGTGACTGGTCCATACCATACCTGGTTAGCACCGACCACTGTCCTGTGTGGTTGACGGATCATGGGTTATAGACCCCTTTCCATAAGGCTAACCGTGACAGGCATTCCTTGTTTCTCTCTCCATATAACGCAAATGCGGGTTAGTTCTATCAAAAAGTCAAATTTCTCCCCATATTTGATCCAAGAGCTCCCTTGTCTTCTTCTGCATTGAATTGAAAATTACAAGGCTGTGGAATTGAACATTTGTAATCGTAAATTCAAAATTGGTTTGTCTGTTAAACCACTGTTATAAAATAAAATAATTAATAATAAATAAATGTAGGGATTATACTAAAGTTATTAATACAAAAAAAGATATAAAAAGCAAAATCCTACCGAATAGTATTTAAAAATCAAGGTCAGTGTGGAATGTCCAACGGAGTAATGTCCAAGGATGGAGTAAGGATGAAAGTAAGCTTCTGAGATCCTTAAGTGAAAGTGAAACTGAATTTCAGGAAGCAACTTAGTACTATAACGATAGCTTGTAGCTGTGGCCTATACAATGTTGACCTTTTTACTCTCATCCTGTTTTCCTCTGTTTTTTCTTCTTCTATTTTTTCTTAGTTTTTTTTTTTTTTACTTTTNTTTTTTTTTTTTTTTTTTTTTTTTTTTTTTTTTTTTTTTTTTTTTTTTTTTTTTACACAAGTATGGTATTTACTTTTTGGGGACATATCCATGCGTAGAATGAAGGGGTGTAAGAGGAAAAGAATACCCATCCATTTCAATGCCTGGATTCATAATCTTTTCTTGGTATCCCTAATTTGCCCCAAAATTTCAGCTTCTCAGGCGATTATTCCTGCCTTAGTCAAGATGGTCGGAAAGCGTCGCGACTCGTGACATAATTATCAACATTATTACCATGAGAAATGTTTCAATAGGTTTCAACTATTAAGTACTTCAGTATCTACGTTTTCGTTACTTTTATGAAACGATGTAAAGATTAATGTAACATATTGTTAAAAAAATTAAAGAACAGATTGCTTTAAAAAAAAAATAAACTATAGTCTTGTGAATTCTATTTATTTACTTTTGCTTAAATATTTTATAAGCGAAAATTTTCCTTTTTTTTCTTCTTAATATTATTAAAAAAAGATGTTCATTCTCTTTTTTTTAATTTTAAATAATCATTAAGTATTAATTTAAATGACAGGCATTGCTTTCTATGTGGAAAAAAGGTTCCAAGTGAATATGTCATCAACAAACTAACTGTCGATGACAATAAGCTATGCAAAGACCTGTTTGGCAAAGCGATATGCTATTTCGGCAAATACTCGATGCGTAGAGTTAGAGGGTTTGAATTTAGTTACTTTCAGTCTGACCCCAGAAAGGAGATATTCATACAAATATAGTTGAAAATATAGGCAATTTCATATAATAAAACGTTTAGTTCATAAACTTTACTAGTTTTAAACTTATATATGTATATATATAAAATAAATAAATAAATACAAAAAAACACGAAGAAAATTAAGAAAAACAACAAGTTTCATTTATTACGCATAAGCTGGAAGTAAATGGAACTCATAAAATAAATTCAAAATGAAGATAAAACAGAGGAAAATTACAGACATATGAAAAAAGGGGGGGAAAGAAAAATAATAATAAAAATAATATAAAACTGGAAAAAAAATAATAATAATAAAAATCTGACCTTATAAAAATTGTTTTAACAAATATTTANTAATCTGGAAGTAAATGGAACTCATAAAATAAATTCAAAATGAAGATAAAACAAAGGAAAATTACAGACATATGAAAAAAGGGGGAAAAAGAAAAATAATAATAAAAATAATGTAAAACTGGAAAAAAAATAATAATAATAAAAATCCGAAAAAAAGGATGAATTTTTTTAAAAAAATCTGGAAAATAAAAGATATAATCTTTTCATCAGCCCACACGATTATATCCGCAAAAAAAGAGTGCTTTCTAATATTGTATCAATTTAGCCAAAGCAAAATATATATCAATGCAATAGTGTGAGGCGCACTCAAAAATTTTTTACAAAAATCACAACAAATAATTAAAATAGAACACAATAAGTAAAAATAATACGAAAAGATTATATCTTTTATTTTCCGGATTTTTTAAAAAGATTTTATCCTTTTTTTTGAATTTTTATTATTATCATTTTTATTCTCCAGTTCTTTGTTATTTTTATTATTATTTTTCTTTCCCCTCCTTTTTTTGTATCTTCATACATCTGTAATTTTCCCTTTTGTTTTATCTTCATTTTGAACTTATATAATATATATATATTTTGAAAAAAAAAACTCAGAAATTTTGAATTGCGCATTTAAGCTTTNCCCCTTTTTTTTTGTTTCTTCATACATCTGTAATTTTCCCCTTTGTTTTATCTTCATTTTGAACTTATATAATATATATATATATGTATATACAAACTTCTAAGTTCTGATATCGTCATGAGTTCAATTATTTATAGGTCCTACTTCATCTATCTGTTTTTTTAACAAAATTATTAACTATAACTCCATTACGCTTAAATTTCGGTGTCGAATTTATTAAGTGCGTTGAAATATTTCGTAATCCTTGTTCTGCACCCACGTTGTACGGCTCAGGTTGTCGTCTAATTATTCTTTTATTTCTATTCACAATTATCCCAAAAATAACTAACAAATTTTATACAATAAATATTTTATATACCCTAATAAATTAATTTAGTATCTAAATTAGATCTGGAAGCATTGATGACAGTATAATGCAATCACGTGCATAATTTTCAAAGTTAGTAATTTTCAAACTAGTCATTTAACAAATTCAGTCAAAAAAGTTCAGTATACCCTAATAAATTAATTCAGTATCTAAATTAGACCTGAAAGCATTGATGACAGTATAATGCAATCACGTGCATAGTTTTCAAAGTTAAACTATGTCATTTAACAAATTCAGTCAAAAAAGTTCAGTATACCCTAATAAATTAATTCAGTATCTAAATTAGACCTGGAAGCATTGATGACAGTATAATGCAATCACGTGCATAATTTTCAAAGTTAAACTAAGTCATTTAACAAATTCAGTCAAAAAAGTTCAGTATACCCTAATAAATTAATTCAGTATCTAAATTAGACCTGGAAGCATTGATGACAGTATAATGCAATCACGTGCATAATTTTCAAAGTTAAACTAAGTCATTTAACAAATTCAGTCAAAAAAGTTCAGTATACCCTAATAAATTAATTCAGTATCTAAATTAGACCTGGAAGCATTGATGACAGTATAATGCAATCACGTGCATAATTTTCAAAGTTAAACTAAGTCATTTAACAAATTCAGTCAAAAAAGTTCAGTATACCCTAATAAATTAATTCAGTATCTAAATTAGACCTGGAAGCATTGATGACAGTATAATGCAATCACGTGCATAATTTTCAAAGTTAAACTAAGTCATTTAACAAATNTCTCCGATTTTGACAATTGAAGATTGATTACTGATTACGCCCACTGAAGAGGGGGGAAATATCTGTGACGATCGAGGAAAGACATGAATGCAATCACGTGCATAATTTTCAAAGTTAAACTAACAAGGGAAACTAGGGAAGTAAACTAGTGGGATGTATGCCTTATGAGGAATAATTTTAGGGGGCGACATTCGTTTTGGCCCATAGAAGGTCCTGTGAGAGATAAAAAATAATTCAATATATAGAAAAATCCGTTTTTTACTACTTCAATGCAGACTATCAGTTATTGTAATTGTCTCATAATCCATTTAAATTGTAATTAATTGGATAATTAATTAATTTGCTAATTAATAAATTAATTAACATTCGTTTTGGCCCATAGAGGGTCCGGTGAGAGAAAAAATAATTCAATATTTAGAAAAATCATTATTTTATTACTTCAATGCAGACTATTAGTTATTGTAATTGTCTCATAATCCAATTAATTTGTAACTAATTGGATAATTAATTAATTTGCTAATCAATAAAGTAATCTGACAATTAATTAATTAATAATAATTGTTAATTAATTATTAATTCATTTGCAATTACATACTCCAATTAATTTGGAAAGTTTTTTGAAAAAAAAAATTTATGTCAATTTTTTTTTAAAATTAACCAAACAGGTTTTTCTAAAAAACTACAGATATATAAAATTTCCGAAATCAATTTTAACAATAAATGTGCATTATATAGTACGTGAAAGCACCACAAAATTAATTGGAGTATGAGACAATTACAATAACTAATAGTCTGCATTGAAGTAATAAAATACCGATTTTTCTATATATTGAATTATTTTTTATCTCTCACAGGACCTTCTATGGGCCGAAACGAATGTTTCCCCCTAAAATTATTCCTCATAAGGCATACATCCCACTAGTTTATTTCAAAATTGGCAAGTCACACTTCCCTAGTTTCCCTTGTAAGTCATTTAACAAATTCAGTCAAAAAAAAAATAAATACATTTCAATTACAATTAATAAAGGAATGAATTATCAAAACACCGCGTACATGAAACTTTAAATTTAAGCTCGATTAATCAAGATAACAAATTATGCATTATGCCTTAACCCGCATGGAACCTTATCACGACACTAAAATCGTATTAAAAAAATCTAAAGTAAAATTACCAAAAGAATGATTACAATTAATACTTAAAAAATTCATCTTTAATGATTGAATAAAACACTCCTGATTAAATATTACAACACATAAAACTAATTAGAGTGGGGGGAAATTAGCACTCACCTGGTTCTGTTCACAATTGCCCCTCCACAGTTGGGGGATCTTTCATTCACAATGCCTGCAGTTGAACTGACCCTCCCATTAAGGGGTTACCCCCCTCTAATAGGGATTCTCGCTTGCCTTCCAGGTTTTGGCGTGATTCGCTTTCGTTAGTTATCTTGGGCCCTGATCTCCCAGTATCGATGTATATTCAAATTGTATATTCAAAATTTGTGTTAGAATGTTTTGTTCTTTAAATTATATCTAACGTAAAAGAACACGTGTCGAATCTTATGTTTCGTTTGATTCAGAATGATTGATATGCAAATTAAAAACTGTTCTTTTACTTTTTCTTTTAGTTTACTGTTGTGAAGAATGCAAAATGCGTTGAAAAAGCATTTTAGAAACCACGAAGAAATAGAAGATTTTTCTAAACTCACTGCGAAGGTTTGCACCTCATCAAGATATCGTTCTTTAAGGTGTTCCCCTGTCTTCTCAAATGGAGTGTAAACAATTACCAAACGAATTGTCTTTTCTTATATTCATTTTTAATACTGAACATATTTGTTCATTTCCTACTTTGTTTTCATGCAAATAATATGAAGTGTTTAATAAAATATCAAAATCTTGCTGTTTGATCTACCAGTTTTGTTCGCTAAAATAAAGGTATAACTCAAAAAAGAAGTAAAGTTTTATTGCTTTATTTATATATTTATTTTTTGTTTTAAAATAAGTTAAATGCAACATCTTTTTAGAATTAAAAACAGTATCTTTTTTTATTTGTAACGAGAACAAATGTTAAAAGTCGAAAATCACACGATTTTAGAACTCGGCACCTCACTTTACCGAAATTGGA